ATATTAATAAAGCTTCTACTTCTTCTGCTTACTTGAATGAGTCAAGATTATGGCATGATAGATTAGGACATGTGAATCTTAAGTTTATGCAAAGATTAATGTTTTTTAATCTACTGCCAAAATTTAAATTAGACAAAGACCACAAGTGTGAAGTCTGCGTTGAAGCGAAATTTGCTAAGTCTTCGTTTAAAAATATTGAACGAAATATTGAACCTTTGGAATTGATACATACAGATATATGCGATTTGAAATACGTGCAAACCAGAGGCAATAGAGATGTTTAATCTCTATAAAAATGAAGTTCAAAATCAACTTGGAAAGAAAATCAAAGCTTTGGGAAGCGATAGAGGAGGTGAATATGAGTCGCCTTTTGCGCAATTGTGCGCAGATCATGTCATCATCCATCAAACTACAGCCCCTTATACGCCAGAACAGAATGGCATTGTTGAACGCAAGAATAGAATGCTGAAAGAGATGATGAATGCTATGTTAATAAGTTATGGATCTCCTCAAAACTTGTGGGGGGAAGCAGTGATTTCTGCTAACTTTGTATTAAACAGAGTGCCCCATAAAAGGCTCGACAAAACACCCTACGAGTTGTGGAAAGGTAAATCACCTAGCTACAAATACTTGAGAGTATGGGGTTGTCTTGCTAAGGTTCCTATCCCTATTCCTAAACGAACTAGGTTAGGACCAAAGACAATAGATTGTGTGTTTGTTGGTTATGCACACAATTCGAGTGCTTACCGATTCTTGGTGTATAAATCAGATAATTCTGAAATACATGCGAATACAGTCGTTGAATCAAGAGACGCTTCATTTTTTGAAGATGTATTTCCCTATAAGACTCGGATAGAATTAAATCTAAGTGGTATGGAATCTCAAAGAATTCATGAATCTTCTAAGCAATTAGAGGAAGAGGATGAAGAGCCTAGAAGAAGTAAAAAGACAAAGAAACCTACTTCTTTTGGTTCTGATTATCTAACGTTTATGTTGGATAAAGAACCACAGACATACCAAGAGGCTATGTTATCTCCCGAAGCTCCTTATTGGAAGGAAGCAGTAAAGAGTGAGATTGAATCAATCCGACAAAATCACACTTGGGAACTTGTGGATCTTCCACAAGGATGCAAACCATTGGATTATAAATGAGTCTTCAAAAGAAAGATGAAACCGGATGGTTCTATTGAAAAATACAAGGTGAGACTTGTAGTCAAAGGCTATAGGCAAACTGAGGGTGTCGATTACTTCGATGTTTACTCTCCAGTCGCTCGGAAAACATCCATAAGGTTTATTATAGCCTTGGCAGCCTTACATAATCTAGAATTACATCAGATGGATGTAAAGACTGCATTTCTAAATGGTGAACTGGAAGAAGAAGTATATATGCTTCAACCTGAAGGGTGCAGAGTGCACGAACAAGATGAAAAAGTGTGTAAACTTGTGAAATCCTTGTATGGACTTAAACAAGTTCCGAAACAATGGCATGCGAAGTTTGATAACGTAATGCTTTCAAATGGATTTCGAGTCAACGAGGTTGACAAGTGCATATATGTCAAAGATAACGAGACAGAATTTGTGATTATCTGTCTTTACGTAGATGATATGATCATCACTGGTAGTAGTGATAAAGTGATTAAATCTACGAAAACTATGTTATCAATTTACTTTGACATGAAAGACTTGGGAATAACAGATGTAATACTTGGTATGAAAATTATCAAGACACAAGACGGTTATGCGTTATCCCAAAGTCACTATATAAAACAAATCTTAGAGAGATTTGACAAAGATGGAAATTCTGTGGCCAGAACTCCAATCGATGTTAATTCTCATTTGAAAAAACATCACGGTGAGGGAGTTCAACAATTAGAATATTCCAGAATCATAGAAAGCTTGATGCATCTTATGAATAGTACAAGGCCGGATATTGCTAATACCGTGAATAGACTTAGCAGATATACGAGCAATCCAAGTTGTGATCATTGGAAGGTCATAATTAGACTTCTTAGATATCTAAGGTATATTGAGAATTATGGACTGCATTATACAAGATATCCAACAGTATTAGAAGGATATTCTGATGCGAACTGGATCTCAAATTCGAATGAGAATAAATCCACAAGTGGATATATATTCGTTGTTGGTGGAGGTGCTATTTCGTGGAAATCCTCTAAACAAACGTGTATTGCAAGATCCACTATGGAATCTGAATTCATAGCTTTAGACCTTGCTGGTGAAGAAGTTGAGTGGCTTCGAAACTTTCTTGAGAATATTCCTATATGGCCTAAACTTTCTTGATTTGCAAGACTATTGCTTTGTTGTTGAAAGAGTCCTCCTTGATCATATCCACAACCATAAGAGACTTTATAGCCCACTAAATTATAATAATTTCTATTTATTGTAATAACAAGTGTAGTCATTAGTGGATTAGTGGACTAATGAATAATTGTGTTGGCGTTTTTTATCCATTAGTGGGCTAATAAATACTTATTACCATATTTTTATTTAAGTATAATATATACGTTTTAACAGCCGCGTATATTTCTTCTTTATTTGTCATTTTCTTCTTAATTTTCCATATTTTTAATTTTAATAATTAAATTACTTTTTTAGGATGATGTTAAATACGTTTTATCAAAAAAAAATTTTAACAACTAATTTGAAAGTTGAAACTGCATTAGCAACGTTGATGAGGACAATTAAAAGAATTTTAATTAATATATTTATATTAAAAATCATACATTTTAAAGTTATAAAAATATTAGTTTCCAGAAAAAAATTCTTCTAACAACAACATTGTAGATCGAAAATAGTAGTTTTTCATATGATCCAATATTATGTATGTTTTCAAAATTGTAGCGCATATATGTATGTTAATTTGTTTAAACTATATTATAAATATTTTTATTGAAAATAAATAAAATAAATAAATCAATAAATTAATAAAATAAATAATCAAATACAAAAAATAATAAAAGATATATATAGAGAGAGATACATATATACATACATAATTTATATTTTCTTTAAATTTTCACATCTATTATTGTATATGTGAAATCATAAAGTTTAGGAAAAAAAATTACTATTAAAACATTTTTTACTTCGAATATTAGCCACAATCATGTACCAAATTATAAAAGCTATTGAATTACGTCTAGACACACATATATACACGTAATACGGTACAAAATCTACCTGATAACAACTTAAAATTATGTCTAGATTCAAATACATAATCGTATGTTACAAACAACTTTTTCATTGATAGAATAGCAAACAACTTTTTATTTGTGTAACCGTTCTCTTAATGTATTTAAGATCATTTTGTTTTTATAATTATAATAATTTATTGGTGTTTTTTTTATATCATGACCTCAAATAAATTTTAAATATAAGTGTAATCAAATAAATATCTCAATAATATATTAAACTAAGATCAAAATAGTTTTTTAATACAATAAATTGAATCATTTTTTATTTAAATATTTATTCACATTTCAACTCTTTATTTATATAAAATATAATCTGATTACTCATTTTTTGTATTATATGTCACATTGTATTTATTAAAAAACATGTTTTAATTAATTAAATGACCAATAAAAATAAAAAAGTGTCAGGTGTATGATGAGTTGGATGTTTAGGTGGCTTTACTACATGTCTTTAAATTTCTTTATTAATATATATAGATTTTTTTTAATTTTCGATGATCGAAATTGTTAATTTTATTTATCCTTATATAATCTGAAGCACTTCCCTGAATAAAACCAGAAATATGACGATATGTATATTTAAAACTCACATCAATATCTATGCTACAGGTTTATATGCCAAAAAATGACAAAAACTTATTTATCGAAATTAATTAAATGTATTAATTTCTGGAAATGTTTTGAACTTATATTAGGCTCACAATCAAAATGCGGCCCAATTTTGAAACTTTGTTTTAAGCCCAAATTAATGGGCCCAATAAAAAACTAATGGTCGAAAAGCATAAACAAAGTTTCAACGGATATATTATATATATAATTACAATTTAAACAAATTTTAACCTTGGGAATAAAAATTGACAACGGCTAATTTTCAAGGATTAAATTTTGGACATCCCAATTTAAAGTTTAAATTATGGTAAATATTACATCCAAATGTATAGGGACACACAAAAAAGAAAAAAAAAAATTATGTATATATGCGTACATATATAAGAAATGACGTCGTGCCTTTTTGATCTTTTATTTCTTGTTTCTGAAAGGCGACAGCCATTTTTGTTCGTTAAGGGCTTCACTTCTCAGCAAGAAACGCTTTCGCCGGCAATCTTTCAGTCGCGACGGTGCGGACGGGTCGGATCTCCGTCAAGGTAAAGCTCCAGTTCTTCATCTTCTCCGCCGGTCTCTGTTCAATTAGGGTTTTGTTCTTGGCTCTCGCCGATTTGCTCTTCCCTCGCGAAGATCCGCTAGCTGAATTCACGGCTAAGCGTTCAGGCATAGATTTCTTTATCCTATTTAGGAACTGAATCTCGTCAAATAATCTGTCATCTGTGTTCCCCGTCCGCATCAAATTTGAGGTTTTCATTGCTTGCTTGTACGAAATTCTTACTCCCGGGAGAAGTAGCTGGGTAAATAACTTTCTTTTTTCGCTATGATAGTTCTTGATATTGCTCAGTTAAACTGAGTGTGTAATTCTTTGTTGACTCTTCTGGCTTTCTCAAGGCTGTTTAAGTGTGCTGTCGAAGCGTGCAAGAAGTCGAGGCAAAAAGCTGGTTTATCCTTTCATAATTGTGGCTACCGCTGCGATTTCCTCTGGGTTGCTTGGGCTTAAGGTCTCAAAGTCAAACTCCTGCCATCTGTTGTTGTCTAGTTTTCTTGGCCGGTTTCCTCCTTTGCCGTCATGTCTATTATCTTTCTTTTCCCGGGAAGTTGGATTAGGAATACAGGAGCAGTTTTGTTATCTCTTACGGTTTGTGCCCGCGTGTGTGTATGATATATACTTGTCTGCAATATGATGCAGGAGTCTTTCACGTGATGTACATTCTGGTGTAACTGTATTAAGATGGCATCTCCACATAATATTGAGTTGGAGGCAGCAAAGTTTCTGCACAAGCTCATTCAAGATTCTAAAGATGAGCCTGCGAAGTTAGCTACAAAACTTTATGTGGTATGTGTGGAATGAATTGACTTGGTGTATGATTTCTCTGTGATTTTACAAGCTCTAATATTGTGCTCTAACTGCATTTATTCTCTTGCGCTGATTTAGATCTTGCAACATATGAAAACCAGTGGGAAGGAGCATTCAATGCCATATCAAGTCATATCGCGGTATCATTATTTTTTTTGCTTTTCTCCTGCCCTTACCTTTCCTCACATACACTCTAAACAGCTTATCATCATGCTTGATAGAACTTCTGTACAGGGTTATATATTATGCTGCCAGAATCTGTGATATCTTTTGTGGATGATTTACTTGATGCAGTGCATGATATGACCACATTCTTGCACAATCACAAACTGGGTGCAAGTTTCACTTCTTCTTCTTCTTCTTGAACTTCTCCAATTGTGGTGTAGTCATTTTTAGTGGCTAACTTCTTCTATTATGCTTGATTATTATGCCCCTTGTCATCCTAAAGTTGCTTTTCACCCTTTGGAAAGTGTCGTTGTCCATTTCTTTTATGTTGCTTTTTTCTGATATGGTCTTTTCTAAATTCCAAGGGCCATGGAGACTGTTGTGAATCAACATGGTCTTGACATTGAAGCTTTGAAGTCATCTCGTATTCCTCTGGCTGGTGGAACTCAGATAGGTGACTCTGCTTCTGCACATATGGCAGGTATAACAAATTCGTAACTTTTTGCTCTGCATGTTGTTTATTGAGAGGATTTGATTCTTGCTTGTTATTGAATGTGTTTCATTTATATTTGAATACAGGGTCTTCACAAGTCGCTGGTGTTAGCAATGATTCCAAAGCAATTTCGGTTGAGAATGAGATGTCAAAATATGATGCATTTGGTAGGCAGCTTGGTGGACCAATCAACACTTCACAAGCTTTTTATCAAGCTTCTGGAACACGTAGTAATACATCCTTTGATCATGAGAGTCCATCCAGCTTCGATTCTAGGTCAGCGAATTCCCAATCCCAAGATAGGGGTGAGACAATGAATAAAAAAGATGTCAAGTCAACTGCAAAGAGGAAAAGGGGTGAATCATCATTTTCATCAACAGAGCTAAATACAAACAATTCTCAGCAATTTGATACTCACAGAACAGTCGATAATCAGAAGGGAAAAGTAAGCAAAGTGGAAGTGCCTGGTAATCTAGGTAAGGATATAATCAGCTTCAACATTTGCAATATTTGATATTTTATGTAAGTCAAACGATTAGTCTTGGTTGTGGATTTTTTGCAATTAAAATTCAGGTGATATTGGAAATTTGAATGTAGGTTTGTCATCAGATGCTTACAAGATTCCTCAGGTATATTCCTCAAAACTATTGAACTTTTTAGATACTCTAGATTAAATTCATAATATCTGCATAACATTTTTTAAATTGCAATAATATTATTGTGCTTCTCTAATGCCTTAATTTCTATTACAATAGGACTTTCCATTGACCTTATTCAATGTGCGAAAATCCTTAAGCTATAACCAGGAGAGATAATGTGGCCACTAGCACACTTGTTTGCCAAAGAATTTAGTTATCTTCTCCATATCGCTCTTTCTTCACACACGGATATATATATATAATATTGTTTCAATATTAAAATATATCAGAAATCTACTCGAGGTTCTCATGTTTTTCCAAATGTTTTAAACTTTATATGTTAAAAGTGTTTTGCTCCATTTCTTTTTTCGTTTTATTTCATATGGGAAATATGTTTTTCATATTTTCAATATTCCCACGCTGCATGCTATTTTTTTATAACAGGGTGGATGGCAAAACAGTGAAGGCACAACAATTAGACCTCCAGGACTTAGAGATACTGGAAAATCTATTGCTCCAATATTACCGCCATCAAGTTCACCTTTCAAAGAGCAACAATTGAAACAGCTCAGAGCCCAATGCCTTGTCTTTTTAGCGTTCAGGTATTCCAGGCTCTTCGGGCCTCTTGTTTATCTTAAATCAGTGCACTCATACCAATTACCCCTACTTGACTTTATTCTTTTAGAAATGGTTTGATGCCGAAGAAACTGCACTTGGAGCTCGCACTTGGAAATGCTTTACCAAAAGATGGTAACTATTTACTCTCTTATGTCGCCATTAACCTTTTCTGCATCCTTCCCTTGAATTGTAATCAGCCTGCAATACAGATGGTTTTCGCAAAGAGCTGTTTGACCATAAAGGGAGAACACAGTCTTCTGGTGAATCAGGTAGCATTCCTGAAGTCTCCCCACCTTTGTCAAGAATGGATAATCCCACCGGAAGATTGACCGACATGGACTTTGCATCAAAAGAAGCTGAGAGATCAAGATTAGGGGACAAAAGTTTCTCAAATATTGCATTTTCAGATGGACAAAAGCTTCTTTTGGCATCTAGAAAACCAGACTCACAAGTGCCAAACCAGGTTGCTGTTAGTCATCCTGAGTTAGCATCTTCTTCAACTGGTCTAATCAAACATGTACCGCTGGAGGTCATGAGTCGGGCAGGACTTAGCAACCGTAGTGACCTCCCATCTTCAGCTGTTCAACTGGATGAATTTCATGCTACAGGTGAGTGTACTGATTTAGATAAAATTTCTGATAGTAATTCTTCTTCCTTTTTTAAGTGGAGAACTACTTTCGCCAATCTAGTGGGTAACTCTTTAAAAATGGACATATGGCAGATCATGAGGAAGGCAACATGCAATCATCTCCGAAGTATACAATGTCACAGAAATGGATTATGGATCAGCAGAAAAAGAAACTTTTGGCTGATCGGGGTTGGGCTCTAAAACAGCATAAAGCAGATCAAGCAATTGTGGCACGGTTCAATAAGTTGAAGGTTTGTAAAACTCTCTCTCTCTCTACTTGAGATGTGGTTATGGCCTTAGTAGCTTTATGTTTTTGATGAATGATAGTGATCGTATACCATTATTGAGGATGCATTATGCTTTTGTCTTTCTTCGTGGTCTTACTTCTCTGCAATTTATCTTGTGATAGGAACAGATCAATGATTAAATTTGAATATTGGATTCTATATATAAATGGCAATGTAATTGTCATCAGGTAAGTTCCCAGTCTACTGGAGGTTTCTGTATTCTGATTTATTTTAGGAGCGTTTAAAGTGAGGCTTTTTTTTCCCTTCAAGTTAATGTGGTAGATTGACTAGAAGATATGAACTATTTTCAGGTCTGCTGTGAATCTCTAATTTCCCTGCATCTTCCACAATATGTCAGAGTTCTAATTGATTATTTTATAGCGTTTATAATGTTGTATTTGTGATGGGTTTCTGCATCTTTCTTCTAATTTGTTATAATGTTCTATTCATCGGTTTCGAAATTGGGATCATTTTGCTGGATTAGTTTTCGTGATTGCCTTTCTTCCAATCTGTAGGAATCTGTGAGTTCATCCGAAGATATATCTGCAAAGACCAAGAGTGTGATAGAACTAAAAAAGCTTCAGCTGTTAAATCTTCAACGGCGTCTGAGGAGGTAATTTTACTTTGTTATGTTCTGTTTGAAACTTACTTCTTTCCACGTGAAGGTTCTGGTTCATATGACCTCAAGGCTTGTATGACCGACAATCCTAGCAACTCAAGTTAACTGGACATCCAACTAGCTATCCTTTCTTTTCGTACAACAGAAGAATGTATTTTTGTTTAGTATGCATTCAAAACGTCTTATCCTTTCATACTTTATCTCCCAGCTTTTCATTCGTTATGTTGTTTAATTGAAACAGTGAGTTTCTCTATGACTTCTTCAAACCGATTGCAACTGATGTTGAGCATCTGAAGTCTTATAAGAAACATAAACATGGCCGGAGGATTAAGCAACTTGAGAAGTATGAGTACAAGATGAAAGAAGAGCGGCAAAAAAGATTCCGTGAGAGGCAGAAGGATTTCTTTGGGGAGATAGAAGTGCACAAGTATGTGCCATTGGCTTACTGTTTGATCCTTTTGTCTCTTTGTCTCTGTTTCTCTCTCCTTTTAGTTCTGTTCTCTCTTTGCATAGCCAAAAGAACGACAGTTGGTTTTTAAGTTAATCTAAGGTTTATTTAAAATAAATTAAATATTTAATCTTGCTTGAAATATTACCTTAGGGAAAGGGTAGAAGATTTGTTCAAAATTAGGAGAGAAAGGTGGAAGGGATTCAATAGATATGCAAAGGAGTTCCACAAACGAAAGGAACGCATTCATCGGGAGAAGATTGACAAAATTCAACGCGAAAAGATTAATTTGTTAAAGATTAATGACGTGGAGGGTTACCTACGAATGGTGCAGGTTTGTTTTCTGATCCAAATTTGGAAGTTTTGGGGTCATATAGCTTCTTTTATGTCGTGTTATTGGCAATGTTTGCGGATATGTAGGATGCCAAGTCGGATCGAGTAAAGCAGCTGCTCAAAGAGACTGAGAAATACCTTCAGAAACTTGGATCCAAGTTACAGGAAGCAAAATCTTTGGCAAGGTGTTTCGGAAATGAGGCAGACGATACACGTGCATCAAATGTCTTCGAATATGAAGCTTCTACTGAAAATGAAGATGAGGGTGATCAGGCAAAGGTAAGTCCATTTTACAAATTTCTCCAAGCATACACATTTGTTCTGTCTTCCATATTTTGTTCTCATGGTTACCTCTCTGCTTTACAGCACTACCTGGAAAGCAATGAAAAATATTACATGATGGCTCACAGGTAATATTGTTTCCTCCTTCAATTACTCTCTAAACAAATACTTGCGACGTCTGAGCTTTTTCACTTTCTGATATATATGATTATAGATTGTCAAATTTCTGTCGTATTTTTCCCCAAAAAGCTGGTTATTTTGTATGTAAGTTTGAGATACTGTGAGAACTCCTTTCTTCAATTATGTTACTTACAAAGTAGTGAGACTGCAGTATAAAAGAGAATATCACTGAGCAGCCAGCTTGTCTGAAGGGTGGAAAACTAAGAGAGTAAGTTGAATGTCCCTGCCACTTTCTGCCCCTTGTAATTACGGCTTATAGTTGGTAAATACCTGACCTGGAATATTTACGATTCCAAAATTGACGTTCAGGTATCAAATGAATGGTCTAAGGTGGTTGGTTTCACTGTACAACAATCATTTGAATGGCATTCTTGCTGATGAGATGGGTCTCGGGAAAACTGTCCAGGTGTTAACCGCAGTCTGATTAATTGAAAATGCACATATGTGTTTTGAATTGCTGATATAGATGCATTAGTTGCATGGGTTGTAACGTTTACCTTTTTGTAGGTCATTTCTTTGATTTGTTATCTGATGGAGTCAAAAAATGATAGAGGTCCATTCTTGGTTGTTGTACCATCCTCGGTTCTGCCTGGCTGGGTGTCAGAAATCAACTTCTGGGCCCCAGGGATTCATAAAATTGTTTATTGTGGGCCTCCAGAGGAAAGGCGCAGGCTATTCAAGTACTGAGAGTTACACTTCTTTTTCTATCAGTCTTAATATCTCAGATGTGTAAGTTTTACTCGCCTTTGTTGCAGAGAGCAAATTGTTCATCAGAAGTTCAATGTTCTTCTGACAACATATGAGTATCTAATGAACAAGCATGACAGACCTAAATTAAGCAAGATCCACTGGCACTATATTATTATTGATGAAGGACATCGCATAAAGAATGCATCCTGTAAGTTAAATGGAGACCTGAAGCACTACTCTAGTTCCCACAGGCTTCTGTTAACTGGGACTCCATTGCAGGTCGATTATTTTCCTTCTCCTCATTTTCAATATTGATGCATGCTCTTGATTTTACTTCCATCTTTTCCTTTTCTTGCTATCTGCTTACTTTTGGTTCTGTTCACCATCTCGGTGTTTTACTTCTCTTATAGAACAATCTGGAGGAATTGTGGGCTCTGCTTAATTTCTTGCTGCCTAATATATTCAACTCATCGGAGGACTTTTCACAGTGGTTTAACAAACCATTTCAAAGTAATGGAGATAACTCTGCTGAAGAGGCAAGTGATTGATTGTTTATATTATCCAGTTAAAAGTGATATATTAGTGTTTAAGACATCATATGTTTCTTATTTTTAATTATGTGTTTGTGGTTACCCATCCAATTAGGCGCTGCTATCAGAGGAGGAGAACCTTCTGATCATCAATCGGCTTCACCAAGTTCTTCGACCTTTCGTGCTGCGACGGCTGAAACATAAGGTTCATAAAATTGTATATCTTGTTTCATAAGCTACGACACATTATATCATTCCTTTTTCGAATTCCTGATCTAATTTTAAGATTTTACTTCCTTTCTTTTTAATATATTTGGGATGATTGCAACATTGTCAGTATTGCATTTGTTTTTCAATATGGTGTTGAAACGCAACAACCTTGCCCCAAAAAAATGAATATAACATCTGAGTTAATTCTTCTAAAATTTTGTTCACTATCCTGACGAATTCTTGGCTAATTTGTTTTGGTAGGTTGAGAATGAACTTCCTGAAAAGATAGAGAGACTCATACGATGTGAGGCTTCTGCATATCAGAAGCTATTGATGAAGAGGATTGAGGAGAATCTTGGAGCACTTGGAAATGTGAAGGTGACATCACATGCTCTAGATGTGTCAATTTGTGATACTGTTGAGTTATTGCTTTAAGTTTATTTTTAATGACAGGCCCGTGCTGTGCACAATTCAGTAATGGAACTTCGAAATATATGCAATCATCCATATCTTAGCCAACTTCATGTGGAGGAGGTATTCTACTGTTTTAAATCAAGAACTCTTAGTATATCCAAAGGATTCTGGCAAGTGCACCACGAGAGATCCTAACAAAGGGCCTATCTGGGATCATTTTCTTTAGGTCAATAGCTTAATTCCTCAGCATTTTATCCCTCCAATTGTGAGATTGTGTGGGAAGTTGGAGATGCTGGATCGACTTTTACCCAAACTCAAAGCAACAGATCACCGGGTATTGATTTTTTTTCATCCTCTTATCATGATAATACAAAAGTTTTGATGATTCGAGACCCTAAAAGAAACAGTTGGTAATATGAGCTGGATGTCTACCTTTCTAATAGCATCAGAAAATATCCTACATTGCCCCCTTCTCCTCAGGGAGTAGGATATATTTATAATGAGGGGTTATTTTACTGGTTACACGTGCAAGATGCATTGTTGTTTTAGAACCTAGCAAGGGTAAATGTCCTGCTGGCCTTTCTAATCCAAGCATGCAAACTTTTTCGAGCTTGAATTCCTGCAGGTTCTTTTCTTTTCCACAATGACTAGACTTCTTGATATTATGGAGGATTACCTCACCTTCAAGGGTTACAAATACCTGAGGCTGGATGGGCACACTTCTGGGGGTGATCGTGGAGCTCTTATTGACCTTTTCAACCAACCAGATTCCCCATTTTTCATATTTTTGCTTAGGTGATGCATAATATTTCATTGCCGAGTTTCTTGTAGCGCTTTATTGAAATAGTCTGAGTTACTGGTTTTATTGTTTTTGAATAGTTTGGGAGTGGAGCCAATCATAAATGTCACTGAAAGGCTTTTTAGTGGTTAGGCTAGGGTAATTGTATAGTTCATAAAGATTTGGATGTTATCTCTAACTCTTTGATGGGAATTCAGTATACGCGCTGGTGGTGTAGGAGTTAACCTTCAAGCAGCTGACACTGTAATATTATTTGACACTGACTGGAATCCCCAGGTTAGTCATCTCTTATCCAATCGTAGTTGTATGCTTTGCAGATTGATTAACTTTGTAAAGCTTTTGTCCTTTGATTTAGGTTGATCTGCAAGCTCAGGCAAGGGCTCATAGGATTGGTCAGAAAAGAGATGTTCTGGTCCTACGATTTGAAACGGTATGAGTTTCTTCTTTCTTGTCTTCAGATAATTGAAAACATATGTCGAAAATATTTGTGTTGTGAATTGTTATACCATGTTTTATTATTTTCATTATTGCGATATGTAGTCCACTGACTCTAAATCTGTGGGCATTTACCTCAGTTGAAACATGTAGCATGTAAGGAACAATTAGAGTATCCTCTGCTTTTGCAACGTATATATTTGTCTGCCTTTCCCCTTTCCACTATCATGTACACTTTTTTGTTTTCCTAGAAATATTTTGTGAACTTTGTAAGTTTCTTTTTTTCTTATTCTGTATATTAAGGTCGATACCGTCGAAGAGCAAGTAAGAGCTTCAGCGGAGCACAAACTTGGAGTTGCTAACCAGAGTATTACCGCTGGCTTCTTTGACAATAACACAAGGTCAAATGAGAGATGTCACTTTTATGCCTAGAAAATGTTGATGGTTAACTTTCTAAACGTATCTCTTTTATTTTGTTATAGTGCTGAAGATCGTCGGGAGTATCTGGAGTCCCTCTTACGTGAGTCAAAGAAAGAGGAAGCTGCTCCAGTTTTGGACGATGATGCCTTAAATGATATTATAGCTCGAAGGTAGCCGCTGCTTATAATACTGTACTCTAACAAGGATTTCTGGACTGCTGCACATATTTACTTTTTTAGTGGGATGTGTCTCATGGATTTCAGCATAGTGAATTCATTTCCATAGAAATCATCCACTATGATAGATTTAATTCTTCTCCTCTAGAATGACTGGAAACTGGTTCATTCCATGTATACGTTATTTATCAGCCTTTTTTAGTCCTATCTATGCATATGAATTTTTCCGTAAGAATATCATCCTCAGCTGTTGTCCTGTCTTTGTTGAATGGTATGGCTTAGCGTATGTTTAACATGGCATATACAATCTTCATGCACCTTACATTTGGACTTATATTACCAGTTCTAACAGCTTATTTGTCTTTCCAGTGAGTCAGAGATCGATATCTTTGAGTCAGTTGACAAAGAGAGAAAAGAAAATGAGATGGTATGCTTGTCTTAGTTACTTCAGTGTTAGTTTAGTTTCAAACCTTTTTTTCCACTGAACACCTCTGGTACTGCAGGAAGAATGGAAGAGTATGGTGCTGGAGTCTGCTTCAAATAGTAGTTCAACCTCTATTCCACCTTTACCCTCGCGGCTTGTGACTGAAGATGACTTAAAACCATTTTATGAAGCAATGAAACTAAATGATGTACCAAAGATTGCTATAGAACTTAATGTTGGAATGAAGAGAAAGGGTGGCTACCTTGGGGGATTTGATACTCAGCAATATGGAAGAGGGAAACGGGCAAGAGAGGTATGTCTAAGTGTTTTCTTTTCACTTTACAATAATCACATATGATATCCCACCAGTAGTATTTGGCCTTCTCATTTGATGTATTGACTAATGTGACACTTTTATCAGGTTCGATCATATGAAGAGCAGTGGACAGAGGAGGAGTTTGAGAAGATGTGCCAAGCTGAATCACCTGAGTCTCCCAGAGGGAAGGAAGAAGGAAATGCAAAGAGTGTGCCAAAGGATACATTTAATGTTCCAACTGTGACCTCTGGCAACACAACAATCCCCACACCTTCTACCTTGCCAATGACTTCACAATCTGTGGATCCTCTACCGCCACATCAGGAGCAACCACCACTAAAAGAAGCAACACAACCTGTCAAACGGGGTCGTGGACGGCCAAGGAGAGCTGATAAGACTTTGACTGGATCAGTATCTCCAGTTCCAAGCGGGACACAGGCAGCAGGGGAGTCTAGATCATCAACAGTAATTGGTTCTGATTCTGTGAACCTTGAAAGAAAGCAGGAAACAGATTTGCATCCTAGTGCAGCTGTTCCTCCCGCTTCACCTGATTTATCTGCTCCTCCTGGTTTTCAATCATTTTCTAGTGCCAGTTCTGCTCCGCTGCCAACTAGAGGTCGGGGTAGGGGAAGAGGCAGGGGGCGTGGAGTGGGAAGGGGAAGGAGATTGGATAATGCCTCGCATGCTGCTGACAGTTGCATAGGTGCTGAGACAAGGATGAATCCTCCTAGTAGCCTCACGACTGGAGCTGTTAGAGCTCTTGCTAGTGATCACGGGGCATCAAATTTGGTTACTGTTCCCGTTTCCTCGACTGAGACTGTTGCGGGAGTCCACCCTCCTGGTGCAGGCAGCACAAATCCTCAGGCTGTATGTCCGGTGGAATCCTCTCCTGCTACATCTTTGCAGGAGTGTGGCCCTCAGTCCAGACGAAACAAATCAATCCCAGCAGCAGATACTGACCTAGATGCTCCACCTGGTTTTGATTCAGGATCCTGTGCACAATCACAAGATAGACCTGCAGATTCAACAGGAAGAGCAACTGCTGTAACAAACAAACCTGATGTTCTAGATGCTAATCCTTCAATCAGTTCCTTGCCTGTTCGTTCTAAAGTTGAAGGTACACATTCTGTGAAGAATCAAACCTTGCTTAAACCTGCTTTGAAATCCTCAAGCTTTGCCCTCTTGTATGTCTGTTGATTTGGCTTATGCGATGCTCTACTACTTGTATTCCAGGTACCATGCCTGATAGGAGGCAAGGCCGGAAGATGCAAAGCAGAGAAGAAACTCCTAGACGCCGCGGAAGGAAATCGAGTCAAGTGTCATCTACTTCTGATGGCTGTTCTGCACAGAGCACAAGATTAACACCACAAACAGAGGTCAAGTCTGGTGATTCATCAGGTAGCAAATCTATATCTATTGGAAAGAAGCATGGTGTTGTTGCCCGAGAACAGCCCCCTTCCAGTCAGTTAGCTGCACCTGACTTGCACTCTTCTGGTAGTGTAAGTCAAGATGCAAGAAGAAGAGAAGCTTCTGGTGCTCCTGGTTCTGGTAGGGTTCCAACTGCTGATGTAACTGATGTTGCCCGCGTCATGAAAGAGATATTTTCAGAGACTTCTCTGTCGAAACCTAAAATTGGGGAACCTTTCGAAACAGCAAGCACAAATGCACCTGATGTACAATCCATGGGTAAGGTGGATTTGCATTCTGTTGAGACCAACAAGGCAGATAAGAAAATGAAAGCCGCTGGTCCAAACTCGGATGTTACGTCTGTTACTGGTGTGTCAGTCAAAAAGCAAAGATCTGAGCCTTCATTGATGATTGATGAGAATGTCAAGCCTTCCGTGGACTCTAAGGCTACTGTTTCTCAATCTGGTGATATAACACTTCAGAGTATTATACCTGCGGACTCTAAAAGCCCTGTAAATGAGAAGTTGGTCGTGGGAAACACAGAAAGCCAATCAATAGATTATCAAAGTGATTTTCATTTGCAGAGGTCTTCAGCTTCTGATATTGATTCCTTTGGGACTTCAACCCGGGCTTCTAGTGAAAAGGAAGAACTACCTAGAGCATCTGCTGTTGTTCCAAGAGCAGCTGAGATGACTGAAAATATGGTTAAACAAACCTCAGGCAAATCCTCAGTAGCCTCTCCTAAACGTCCTGTTGATGATATTGAAATGTCGGCAATGGCTGCAAATTCTGATGGAATCTTTTCCACAAAGCTTCTGTCCTTTTTGCAGCCGTCAGCATCAAGTGAACAGGGTTCTCCCAAGAAAAGTGAATCTCTTGCAGATATGCATGAATCTTCTCCTGCTGATTCAGGTACTCCAGGAACCAAGATTATTTCCACTGAAGTTGGTGGTGGTGCCAGCAATCACCCTGGAATTAGCACACAGATACATGAAAGTTCAGATGATTCTCCAACTAAAAGTACTTTAGAGCCAGGTGTCTTCATATCCGGAAACGAGCAGGGAAAAGGATGCCTGGCATCTAATTCTGATTATCTGAAGAGCATCAAAGATTCTGCAAAAGAGGATGCCTGTTTGCCAAGTCAGGGGGAAGATATATCTGTGGGAGTTGATATGTCTTCAGATCCTGCTGGTTCCAGTGAGGGAGTTCCTTGTGGACTGGCTGGATCAGTTCCTGTATGTCACACTTCAAATCCTCCAACTGCTGCTGATTGTAAAAGCTTGGAAATTCCAGCTACTGAAAGCACAAAGAAAGAAGGCGTACCTGATCGTTCTGCTGGAGAATTATCTGCTGACAAGAATTTAATGGCAAAGGCTTCTTCTTACCATAAGAATTCAGAAGTTTTATGTAGCCTCAGTAAGGGTGGTAAACTGGTTTCAGATATTCCTCACCCTGTTTCTGGTGACTCTTGCCATATGGATGTAGACGTGGCCGAAGAAAAGGCATCGTCTTCAAGATGCCATACTTCTGAGGCTATTGCATCTGAGTTTACCGGCGCAGAATCTCTCCCAAAAGGTGAAACAATTCTTCCCATGGAAGTTGCAGTCTCTACTGGTGAAAATCTTGATGTTGATGAAAGAGGAGTTAATGATTGCTCAGTTGGGGAACTTTCTGACGAAGAGAATCCTAAAGAACAAAGGGATTTGAATTCGAAGGTCGAGGCTTGTAAGTTAGAGGCAAACTCTTGGGTATCGCAGGTACATCCTAAGAAAACTGATGGAGATTCTCATGTGGATGACAAACCCTTAGAATTTGCAAAACTTGTAGTTAAAGATGATGATGCCCAAAGGAAAAGAGAGGAAAGTTCGCAGTGTGAGACTTACGACTTGGAGCCAGGTTCTGCTGAAACTCAGTCATCTATCCAGCAAATTGATGAATTGCCTACTGTTGTAGGTAACCAGGAGAATCTCATTGGCAATGATCCACAGCCACCGGTTGAGATTACAGACTATGACAACTCTGTGTCCCATATTAATAGAAATTATGATAGTCCTTTGACTGAATCAGCCGATACCAGACAAGACCCAGAAGAAGCTTTTTTGACACAAAGTGTTGATAGTTATAAAGATGGTTTGGGAACAGAAGCTTCTTACACACAGATGGAGAAGGTCGATGACCGCAAACTCCAAGTGGGTGGATTGATGGAGATTGAGGGGCAGAAAATTCTTCCATCCAGTCTATGTAGAGATACTGTCAGCCTTACCGATAGTGAGAGGATCAATGATGATGAAGGAAACGAGTCACCTGAAAAGGGTCTTGTTTCTTGCCCAGAGGAGGTGGCTGAGCATAAGGGATTTGAATCTGAAACGCATGATTGCTCACATGCAAGTCATGTCGAGAGAGCAGATGATCTGTCTGAGAATAAGACTGATGACGGGAAAATGCACGTCTCATCTGATCAGGCTTCAAATGCATCACATGATTTAAAACCATCCCACCCTTTGTCGGAGGAACAGACAGGTGCTTCCCAGGATGGCATGATAGTGCCTCAAACATTAGCAGAGAACAAGGGTGGACCTACAACTCCTGTGGAAACAACCCAGAACATAGCGGCTGAAGAAGATCAGTTTCACGATACTCTGCCAGGAGAGGAGCCAAGAGAACTGGTGGATGAAAAGAGTGAGCAAATGGATATCGTGAAGATGATTGAAAACTCTGGGAAAGCTCTTCAGTCTCCATCTCCTATCGAGTCGGAGGATGAGAAGGGCAATAGCTCGTCGCAACATCACCTGTGTTCAAGCTTAGAAGTTGTTATATCAGGGGGTTCAAAGGCTCAAGCGGGTGAAGGGTCTGTTGAATCTGGGTGTCAGACAAGTACTACTATGCCTTTAAATACGTCAGTTGAGAAAAAGGCTTCAGAGGATCTGATTATGCGAGAGGAGGAATCCAAAGATCCGGAATCTGGCAAAAATGGTGATACTTGTGAAACTGATGTATCCGAATGCTTAATTCGAGCCTGCGAAGAAAAGTCAACTCGTCATGAAACTGATGTATCCCATGTGGCTGAAAAGGCTGCTCCGTCTCCATCTTCTACACCTAAGCCGGAGGAAAGTCAAACTACAGAGAAAGAACATGCCGAAGCTGCTGAACGTCAAGTTGATAAGATAGCTACTAAGAGATTGATGGAACCAATGGGAGATGCGGTTATTGATCTAGCCAACAAGGATGCATCTTGCAGCATGATGGAACCAGAGGAGACAAAGGAATCTGAAACTGCGGCTGATATCAATGCGCCTGAAATTGCTGCGGAGGGCACGGACTTTTCTTCTTGCCCGAAGATGGAAGAAGAGGTTGAGAATTCATCGGATGAGGCAAACAAGTTTAAAGGTGAGGCCAACCATGAAAGCATTTCTGTTCAGCCGGAGTATCTGTCAGGGAATCCAGTTGCAACATTGGATCCCACACCGATAGAAGAAGAAAAGAAGAAGATTGACCAGCCTGAGGGTAAAATGGCAGTTGGTGACCTGGGGGGAATGGAGGAATCAAAAGCTTCCACGGTTAGGTCAGATGACGAAGCCAATGACAAAGACATCTTTGTTCAACCGGAGCATTTGTCTTCGAGTCCCAGTGAAGAGAAGGAACGCTTGGAGTCTCAGGAAAATGTAAACATAGGCTGCTTGGTGGAACCACAAGAATCAAAGATACCAGAGATTGGATCAGACGACAACAAGGAAAGTGAAACCAGAGATGAGGACATTTCAGTTCAACAAGAGGACCCATCTGCTAATTTTATTGCAAGTTCTACGCCAACGGAGGAAGATATGAGTGACCTGTCCAAGTTCATTCAACAAGAGGATGCATCTGCTAATCTTGTTGTGAGTCCTACACCAATGGAGGAAGACGAGACAAGTTTTGAGTCCGAGGAAAATGTAACAGTAAGATGTTTGGAAGAACCTAAGGGCTCTGAGGAAGAAACAGATCACAGTAAAGTTGAAACCAGTGAGGGGGATACTTCTATTAGACAAGAGGATAAGACAAGTGACCAGTCCGAGGAAAATGCAAGTGACCAGTCTCAGGAAAACGCAGTTGGCGGTGGTTCGGAGGAACCAGAAGTTCCAAAGGACTCTGAAGCTGAATTAGACCGAAGAGAAGGCGAAACCAGTGACATGTACGCTTCTACTCAACAAGAGTTTTCATCTACTAATCTTGTAGCAACCTTGTCTCCTAAACCAATTGAGGAAGAGAAGACAAGTGACCAGTCTCGGGAAAATGTAGCAACGGTGGATGGTTTGGAGGAACAAAAAATGCGGAATGGCTCCGAGGCAGATCAGAGGGAAGGTGAAACCAGTGACAGGGACATCTCTGTTTTGAAAGGGAAACCATCTGAGAATCTTGTTGAGACACTGAATCCTACACCAATGGAAGAAGAGGAGACAAGTGACCAGCCCAAGGAAAATGTAAAGGTGGGTGAACCAGAACCAAAGGGGTCCTCCGAGGCAGAGCAGAGGGAAGATGAAACAAGTGACTGGGACATCTCTGTTCAAAAAGAGGATCATCCGTCAGGGAATGTTCTTGGGACTGTGGATCCTACACCAACGGAGGAAGAAAAAACTAGTGGCCAGTCCCAGGAATATGTAACAGTGGAACCAGAAGAACCTAAGGAATGTGAAACTGGTAACAACAACGACATCTATGTTAAAAAAGACAATCTTTCTGTGAATCTTGCCGGGGCACCAACAGAGGAAGAGGAGACAACAACCGAGCAGCATGGTTTAGAAGAACCAAAGAGCTCTGAAGCAGATTCCAACGAAGGTGAAACCAGTGACATGGCCATATCTGTCCAGAAAGAAGATCCATCTCCAGATCTGGTCAAGACTTCGAATGCTACACCAGCAGAACAAGAGAACATAAGCGGAAAATACAAGTGTGGGCCATCTGGAGGAACCCGAAAAACCAAAGAGCTCAGATAACGAGGAGGATCGTGCAAGTAAGCAGCATGAAATCGACGAGTCACCACGAGAGCTGGAAAAGGTTGAAGTCGAGGCAAAACCCGTGTCTTTCCCTGCAGCAGGAGACTCGGATCAGTTGCATCCCTCCTCGGGCACTGAAGACAATACAAAGGATGAAGTGAAAGGAGAGAGGGAGACTGATTAGATTTGTTGAGTAATATTGGGTTGTGTTTGTATCATTTCGTAATGTCTTACAGATGCTTTAAAAGTAACTCTATTATATTTTTGTGATGTCTGAAGAAATATATTAGCCCGTATATGAAGGCGTTGTATCACCTAAATATGAAAAATATAAACTTTCCTAACTTTAAATGTTTGTGTTAGATGTTTGCGCTGGGGGTTTTTTATTTCTCGTCAAAATGACCCGTATCCTAATACCTTTGTTGCAATTTGTAAATATTATTTATACATATAAATATAGTGCGTGAAAGGTCATTTATTCACCATATGTGCAGTGCAGGTGATATTCATTCACTATCTTACATACCTCGTGAGGTAAAAAAAAAATAACATAAAATGAATATAAAACGCTTAATGGGGCATTCCGAGAATTGAACTCGGGACCTCTCGCACCCTAAGCGAGAATCATACCACTAGACCAAATGCCCTGTTCAACTATTTAGTAATAAAATCCAAAAATTGACTTTCAACGGAAAATTTTGCTTTGTTGCTTTTTCAATTTTCTAATTTGAGAAGAACTTTCAAAATGTTTTAGTGAACGTTGTATGTATACAAAAGAGTTGCTTATGAGCATGGAAAGCAAAACTTGAGTTCCATTATTTCTTTTAATGTAAGGTAAGCCAATGTACGCCAAGAAGCCTGAAGTTGCGGCATCAAGAACGCTACGTACTAAAATATGCTTTACACTCCACAGTCTGTGTGGAATATTCACATCATGGACTTCCCCCGTTATGGTTCAGCCAATGATCGAAGCTCAATGATTCGTGGGATTTTATATCTTTTAATTATAAAATTCAGTTGACTTGATTCACAATCATCAATCCTTCATCCTCACAGCTCATACAATGAACTTTGCTTACTCTCCCAGATAAAAGTATTTCGATCCAAAGATGAAATATGGACCCTAAGGCCTATATAAACCATGTCTTTGTCACAGATATTGAACCATCGAACATCGAACATCTCTCCTTAGATCGAGTTTTAAAGAGACAAGTCTGTTAATGAAAGATGAGTTCGAGACTTGTCTCTGTCACTGTGTACTGTGTTTTGTCATTGGAGTTGTTGCTTTGTGTGAGTGGTCACAGATTTGTGGGTCATGAGAGGAGAAGAGGAAAGTGGGAGGGTAGACTAAACATGGGATTCTATCACGAAACATGTCCTCAGGCTGAGGGAATCGTGAGAGAGATCGTATCGGAGAAAGTCGAAGCAAACCCTAACTTGGCTCCTAAGCTACTGAGGATTCATTACCATGACTGCTTCGTTAGGGTATATCATCATTTCATCTCTCACTCACACTGTTTCAGCTCTCTCTCTCTCTCTCTCTCTCTCTCTCTCTCTCTCTCTCTCCCAAACAAGGCCCGCCATTATAAACCATTGTGTGTTTAAGCTCTTACGAACGTTTAAATCTAACCCTCGTATGCATATAATAAGATCAATATATATATATATATATCATCCATATCTCGGCAAATTCATTATACAGAGATATTGTTTTGGATTGTGAATTAGGGTTGTGATGCGTCGCTATTGTTGGATTCTGTAACGGGAGAAGAAGCGGTGGAGAAAGAGGCGAGACCGAATCTCTCGCTGTCAGGTTATGAAGTAATAGATGAGATCAAATCTCGACTCGAAAATCTTTGCCCTAAAACCGTCTCTTGTGCCGACATCCTCGCCCTGTCCGCTCGAGATGCCGTCTCCTACCAAGTGAGCATGAAGTTACTTCAAAACCTAATCTATATATATATATATATATATTCCATTCACATCTACAAATATATATACACACACACATATATATATATAGACACTAAATGATTGAAGAGTATTGTAGATTTAGTGTTTTATGAGATAATATATCTTAGAACTTAGATTTAGTATTTTATGAACCAACAGTAGGAAGATCCAAACCGTTAGACCATAGATCTTATTACGAAAATCATATCTTATTTCCACGATATCTTGTGATCATATTGACAAGAAAGTAAGTACCGTTGTTATGAAATATGAAATTATAATCTTTATGGTTGTGTAGTACGGACGACCACTGTGGAAAGTATTCACGGGAAGACTTGACGGAAAATTATCGTCGGCGTCAGAGGCCGTCAGAGATTTACCGTCGGCGGCTGCAAATTTCACCTCTCTCCGTCAACTTTTCAACCAAAGCGATCTTGACGCCGTTGACCTCGTCGCTCTTTCAGGTATCCTATATCTTATTTTAGTCAACGGCTTTTGTCAGGTGTTATCCCATTAATTTGGTAATTAAGCTTTATGCTATCCACAAGATACGTGTATTTATTAATTTTTATCAAATATAATTTTGAAATGAAATGAGCAAGAAAATCTTTATAGGGCTCTTGGGGATTATCTCGGCACGTGAATTCCCATGTTAGGAGATGTGTAGACTCACATGCATGTATATGTTAATTCTTTTGAAGAAAATACGTTTTATTCGATTATAGTATTTGGACATTAAGTGTTGACAGTCATCCTTAATTAATCTAATCATGTACCGCTTATTGCATGGTTTTGTTGCACGTGATGACATCTCATTACTAGTTCAATACATGTATATACGCATGAGCTAATTAATACGATTAAAGTGTAAGTATGTTAATCCAAAGGTAACCATTAAAGGTGTTGACAACTAACAAAAATCATTATGTATATATGTATGTATGTATGTATGTATGTATGTATGTATGTATGTATGTATGTATGTATGTATGTATGTATGTATGTATGTATGTATGTATGTATGTATGTATGTATGTATGTATGTATGTATGTATGTTAACACGGTTGTTACACTTTTCTTCAACAGGAGCGCATACCATAGGCTCTGCACATTGCGGAGTATTTGCGAGGAGGATCTTGAACTTCACTGGAGAAGGAGATATCGACCCTTCCCTGAACCCTAACTACGCCTCTTTCCTCAGGTCCAAGTGCGCCGACAGCAAAACCCTAAAACTGAACAGTTCCCAAGTTGTCGGAATGGACCCCACCGGTAATCTCTCCTTCGACGGCGGCTACTTCATATCCCTCCTCCAACACAAAGGCCTTTTCACCTCCGACGCCGCCTTGTTAACGGATTATTCCGCAGCCGCCATTGCTAGGGTTTTCCAAAACACTAACGTGTTTCTTGCTCAGTTCGGGAGATCTATGATCAAGATGAGTTCCATTAAAGTTCTTACACATGATGATGAAGGTGGTGAGATTCGCACGAACTGTCGTGCCAGAAACTGAGAATAAGATTTGCATGACACGCATGCATGCATGCATGGATCGAATCATATAATTATAATCTAATTAAAGAGATTTACGTTCTTATATAACTTTTATATCTACACTTCATTGTTATGTGATGTGTATCCATAAGTGATAATCAATTAAAAGAAAAAAACGGTTTCGTTTCTTCTGCGTATACCTAGAAACGTATATACACATGCCGTATGAAATAACACTTGCATATAGTAAGCTTTGAATCTTGATTAAGGAAATACATATTGCGGAAAGTGGCAACTTTTTCACTGTTTATTCGTATGTTTGGCAATCGAATTATATATATATGTATATATATATATATATATATATGTATATGTATGTGTGTGTATAACACTAAAATGGAAATATAGAAGAGAGACGATACTATAACACGCCCACAAATACCCAATTGTATATAGTTTTATACAAAGATGCTAAGATTTACAATCTATTGACATTTTTTCCTTCACTCTCTTTAAATAACCTCCATCTTCTCATCTTCTGCAACATCCTTGTCCAATCCCGGCAGTTGCAGAGGATCTTCTGATACTTACTGTTCGTAACGACCCTGTTTCTAAATTCATCATAACCTTAAATTTTATTTTATTTTTCCCAATCACAGTTAAATCCAGTTTCTGTTGTTGTAAGAACACTTTTTTTCTGTTCTTCAGGCCACGGCCTTCAAAACAGAGCTTCTCTTGGGCTGCCGAGCAAGTTCATTACAGTGGCTGCAATATGCGATGGTGTCAGGCCGGCCTCCGCCAGTTGATCCACCGGCGATCCATGCTCGATGTATCGGTCCGGAAGCACGATCGGCCTCCACTGTTACGTGCCATACGTAACAAAAATTGCGAATCAGAAACCCGAGAGAGTCCCATAGCCAAAACCATATTGTATAAACCAGAAATGTGCAAAACATATACATATATATATATACCTTGAGTTTTCCATCGAGAAGGCCATCGAGGGCGAGGAACTGTACTACGTGAGATCCGAACCCGCCAATCGAACCTTCTTCGACTGTAATCAGAACCTCGTGAGATTTAGCCAGGCTTCGAATGAGATCACGGTCTAAAGGCTTGCAAAACCTCGCATCTGCCACAGTTATTTTCACATCCCGTTCCTTGAGCATGGATGCAGCCGCTAAACAGTTCTGAACCGCCGAGCCATAGCCCAATAGCGCCACCCTGTCGCCTTCCATCAGTATCCTACCTCTCCCGATCTTGAAAGAAATCAACAAATGGTGTTACTTTTAATATGTTTGATGTGTAGGCGGAAATCCTGTAAGAGGCTCGGGTTCTTTTTTGTAACCAAAGATCCTACCTCGAGAGGAACACCTTTGTTCCCAGGGGGAAGTGGGACACCGATGCCATTTCCTCTCGGGTAACGGAAGCAAGAAGGACGGTCATCTATAGCAGCAGCAGTTGCAACCATGTGGAAAAGCTCGGCTTCATCGGATGGAGCCATCACTACCATGTTCGGGAGACATGCCATGAACGTCACGTCAAAAGCTCCGCAATGAGTCGGACCATCCGCTCCCACGAGTCCAGCCCTGTCCATTGCGAATCTCACGGGCAATTTCTGCAGATCAACGTCATGCACCACCTAGAGAAAAATACGCAGAAAGAAATCCCCACTCAGTTCCGAGCAACACTTAACAGCACGAATTCAGATGAGGTAATCTCGTATCAGCATGTATCTATCGATTTAGAGATATACAACGTTAAATCCTCCGAACTTGCCTGGTCATAAGCCCGTTGCATAAACGATGAGTAGATTGCACAGAAAGGCTTAATGCCTTCGCAAGCCAAACCAGCAGCGAAAGTAACTGCATGTTGTTCCGCTATTCCGACGTCAAAACATCTCGTGGGGAACCGACGTTGGAAGAGATTTAAGCCGGTTCCACCTCCCATGGCAGCATGAATGGCAACTATATCTTTGTCTGCTTCTGCTTCTGCAATCAAAGCCTCCGCGAAATAGGTTGTGTAAGACTGAGTCTTAGCACTTGTTTTGAATTGTTTACCGGTGGCCAGATCGAATTTTACAACTCCTGAAAGAAGAAGGAAGAAAAACGTTAACGATAAGGAACACCGAAATAGGATGTGGTTCTGAAAACTAATCATGAACAAATTCTACACGAGCGATAAAGTGGCAAGGGTTAAGAATGAAGGAAAAAAATTGCATGCCCATAAATCTACTTACCATGGTATTTGTCGTCAGCTCTCTCTGCATAAGGATATCCTCGACCTTTCTCGGTCACGACGTGAATAAGGACCGGTCCTGTTGTTTGGGTACTCTTGACTTCATTCAAGATAGCCACCAGATCATCTATGTTGTGACCATCTACAGGACCGATATAGTATAGACCGAGTTCTTCAAACAGTGTAGCTCCAGACCCACTTATCATTCCACGAGCATACTCGTCAACCTTTGCAGCCAATTGGTGCATCGGCCTACCGAGTTGCTTCGTGACACCCTGTAAGAGATAAAAAGAATGTTTCGAAATTTCTAATAAGATTCACTATTTTGTATTAGAAAATTGGCAATTCTTCCATTACATTATTATAGTACTTGCCTTGGCAACTTCCCTCAACTCGCGGAGAGGTCGGTTAGACTGCAACCGACTAAGAGCACTGCTCAATGCACCAACAGGAGGAGCCGGTCCATCCAAAGTAGCCGTAGGCAACGAGACTTGCTTGTTGTCGTTGAGAATTACAATCATGTCAGAGTCTAAGTATCCGGCATTGTTCATTGCTTCAAAAGCCTGCCCAGCTGTCATCGCACCGTCACCTATAACAGCAACCACATTGTTGTTCCTCCCCTTAAAATCCCTTCCCACAGCCATACCTGTTTACAAGCAGCAGACATAGTATTATATTTTGAAACTGTGTATATATATATATCCAATCTCACATCAGATGACCAAAGGGTTTAACCCGACAAATATATAAGCTAGTATCATAAAACTTTTTACGAAAACCTTCCCCCAAAGGAGAAGGACAACCCCGTAAAGAACCTCAACCCATAGAAAAGAACTCTTCACATTACAGCTCTGTAAAAAGGCAAGAACCAGAAGAATTACCCAAGCCAGCAGAAATGGTAGTGGAACTATGCCCTGTGCCAAAGGAGTCATACTCGCTCTCTGCTCGCTTGGTGAAACCCGAAAGTCCATTGGTCTGCCTTATTGTCTGCATCTTACCTCTTCTCCCAGTCAGAATCTTGTGAGGATAAGACTGCTCAAGACGAGACAACATTGAAGAACGAGTTAGATACTGTTAAAGAATGAGTCTATTAGCAAGATTTCCAAATCACACCCAAGATTTCCAAATCACACCAACCTGGTGACCAACATCCCAAAGAATCTTGTCCTGAGGAGTATTGAATATGTAATGAAGGGCCACGGTTAGCTCAACAACACCGAGGCTAGACCCCAAGTGTCCACCCGTTTTCGAAACATTGAAGATCACATCGGATCTCAACTCATCAGCCAGTTGATTGAGCTCCTGCATCAGACCCAACAACAAAGGAAAGCACAAGCCTTTCAATCGTTGGTGATAGATATCAAAGTGATCCTCTCTCTAACTAACACTACTTGTTTGAAGGAACCGAACAGAGATAAAACCAGTGTTTTGGTCGGTAATGTTACCTTGACAGAGAGATTTTTCATGTGAACTGGATAATTGATTGTGTCCAATAAAGGAGTCGGTGGTCTGTTGGAATAGTATTCACCATTCTCTGCAAGTGAGGCATAAACTCCACCGGGCTTTCTTTTGGACTGCGCAAACCCAAATCAAAGCACAAAAAACAAAAGGGAAAAAAACAAACGAGACCCGTTACTGTCACTTTTCCAATTCAATTCCATGGAATTGGAACCCCAAACACAAAGTCAGTCAAAGAAAAACACATGAAAAGAACCCAAACCCGACAAATTATAGCCCTAATCTCACATGACTGCGACAAGTATGGTGATCACTAACATCAGAAGTTTTTTTTTTCTCCCTGGGTTTAGATTCTTTGGAGTGAATAGGATATTTTATCTGGAATTTGACAAAATGATCAAAACCCAGTGAAAATTTTTCCTCTTTTCTCCTCAAATCAAATGTCCTGTAACAACACCATGTTTCGTTTTCAATCAAAACAGAAAAAGGAGTCGAATTTATATTAATTCCGGCGTAAATGAACTAAACCCATGATCCTATTCACGATTTAGCCTAATGGGTACTCCAAATCTACACAAATCCGAATACTTTTTATGACCTAAAATCGACAGTGAAACCGGAAGAAACCGCCGACAGTTTTTCTCTTTGTAATCAAGAGTAAACCGGAAGAAAACTGAGCAATAAACTGTAAAACCCAGCAATCTGTAAGCCCCCCACTACATATCTTCTCACTGACACTCGGCAGAAGGTTTTCGTCATCTGTAATGACGGTCAAAACCAAAAGAAACAGAAAAAAAAAGAAGACAAAATCATGAGAAACCTTACATGGATGTTGGTGTTTCTCGAGGGCACAGACGGAAGATCTGTAGAGAAGAACGAAGAAGAAGACAGAGAAGTGGATCTGTAGGAATCTGTCGGGGTTCCTCTGCTTATGTAAGAAGGAAGAGCAAAAGCAGATAGAGCCATTTCCGAGAATTTCAACCGCTGGAGAAAACCCAGAGAGAGGTTTGAGCGAGAAAACAGGCCTCGACACTTCTCGAGGAAAGTACCCCCACCCTATTTATAGGAACAAGATTCTTGAAAATAAACAAACAAATGAATAAATGCTTTCAAGAAAGGTAGATCGTTTAATATTTTGATGCAGTCATGTGCATAAACTCCACTCAAATGTGAGCAAAGGTGATGAAGGTCATGGTCATGGTCATGATCATGATGATGGTGGTGGAAGTGGCTGGCAATAATAACTGAGCTCTTGGAAGGAGAGAGAATTAATGGCTGAGAAATAAATACAAGGAAGTCAAATTAGGTGACATTATTGAGAAAAATAATTTATTATTTTTAATATAATTTATCTATTTTATATTATATAATACAGTAATGGTAGTATTCTTTTCTTGTATTTGTTACAGAGAGATTGAGTTGGGTGCAGAGTGAAGCCGATTCTGATTGGACCACGTCACCCAAAAATCCAACTTTTGGATAGATAGATTTACATACACGGTTTCCATATTTATTATATATATACACACACGATTATGTTGAAACATATTACATTAAATCTATTTTTATTTGCTTATAAGTTGGATAAATATTTGAATAAAGAAATAAAAATTTTACACTCTAACCCCATGGTTAGCTTTAGGTATACATTTCAATTATTAGTATAAACATATTAAATTAAATCTATTTTTATTTCTTCGGTCATATATGTTGTTTTATAACATATTTACCACATGTGACTATCCGCAGGCCACAAGTTTAGACCCATTTTGAATACTGACGACCGGAAAACATTTTTTAATATTTTATTTTATTGTGATTTGTTTATCTCTAGTATAATCCAAGTAAAATATCTTAAAAGTTGTCATAAATAATTAATTAATAATGTTTATTTAAGAAAAATATGGAAATCATTAAAATTATTGTGCTAATTTTTACGACCTAATAATTTTTCTTCCACTTTTATATTATATATGAAATTATATTTCTTTAATACTTTGATTGATCGATATTTTTCTTTCACTAAATAAGATTGTCTTGGTTAATTAGGAGAAGTAATCAAAATCGAATCAAACTAAATAATATATAATTTAAAAATTCAAAAACAGTAGAATTTAAAATATAACATGAATCCAAAAAAATGCCAAAAATATAATTTGAGTGTTAACACCCAAATTCTATTTAATAAAGAAATAGATGAAGAATTATCGGATTTCTCATTATTTAATATCAAACATTATAATGTTTATTAGTAGAAAATAAAATAACAAAATATCTTATTTAATCAATATAAATATATAAAATATAAAAATAAAATCAAATATAAATATTACGTAATCTTCTCGATTTTTTCTCGCATCTCTTAATACTATTTTGTTCAAAACTAAATAAATGCTATAAGTTTTCAATTCTTTGGAGTCACAAGGAATCGATTGGAGTCATTATTTTACAATGTGCTTCAAAAGTTGATCTTATTTATATCGTGATAGTAATTCTTCGAAGTTATCGTTTATATTTTTACATAAAATAACTGATTTTAATTACATATCCACACGCACATATATATAAACTTCATTCAAAATATGTATATTTAAACTAGATATGTAAAGTTATAAGACAAAACAAATGATAAAAAAAATCTATATGCGTATAAACTTTGAAATATAGATTTTAGACCAATGGAAACGAAAACATTATAAAAATATATATATCAATGTTCTAAAAAAAAAGTGTTGGTTTTTCTTTCACGTGGAAATGCGAGAAATATTATTATGTTTTCTAAATTCATTTTAATTACGTTTTTGTATGTATTTTAAGATCATTTTCACATCGCTACAAGATATTTTTTCCATTATTTAGATCAGAATTCAAAGTTTTTTTTCTTTATTTTTTCCTTATCTTTTTATTTTTATATTATTTTTCCATTATGCGCATTGAACATACTCCGTTGGTGCTTCGACGAAACCGATGAGTTTTTGGAAGAATATTAGAAATAGTTATTTTGATATATAATTTGTTTTAGCTGAAGCTTAACCAAAAGATTTATTTTATTACATGATATTCACGTTTTCTAATAACATTTTAATTAAATTGTTAGCTATATATGTGGATACGAGATAAGTGGTTATGATTAATGGCGACAAAAGCTAAATGAAGATACTAATCTACGCGTCCACGTGTACAAATAAAATATTTTGTCTTCACATATATATATATATATATTCCTCACGTTGTACGTACGATTAAATTAAAATCTATATAATACCCCTAATACATATCATCAACCACCAAATGAAAACAACAACTTATGAAATTATATCAAATTAATATACAAGTCTTGAAATTCGGATCAATTCCCAACCAAAACTCAGATCGATTTATACGTGAAGGATATTGGTTAGAAATTGTCCTTAATTTCAGAAGTTGAGGGTATTAGTTTGTATGTTTTAACATTTGAAATATTATATTGTTAAATTAAAAATCAACGTATTTATTTAACATATTTTGAAAAGAGGAGACTTGAAACAAAAAAACATCACGATCATCCTCAAACGTTGCACATGAATCTCATTACAAGTCTACAAACACCAGCTCTTGGGAAAATAAATCCACGTGGAAAAAAACATATACAAATTATGAGTATATGACAAAAAAAAAAAAGATAAAACATGAACGATGTAACAAGAGAGATGTGTCCATGATGGCATATCACTCAGTTTGCGTGGTCGCAACAAGACACGACAGCTTGATTAGATACCAATCGCAGCTGTCCAAATTTCATATGTTATGAATAGGAATTTTATATATATATGAAGTCCGCATCGAACTTTTATTGAATCTGTGAAAAATAATGTTACCATTGCGTTTTCCATGCCGAGAAAACAGAAACGACAACACGTCAATTCCATGTTGACCGAGAATTATAAATATATATATATATATATATATATTATGTATGTATGTATGTTAAGTCATTCGATCTGACAGGTCAAGTGATAAAGGCAACCTCAAAATTTGGATTCGATTTTACTGGTTGAGATGGATATAATTTCTAAATCAAAATATTCCATATACAAAGGATGGTCCCGAATCTAGAATAGATATGATCAGACCAAAGATCCGGGAAACCATCGTGGTTATATAAAAAAAAATGTTAAGTCATTGGCATCATTTTTGCATATATAGGCATAGACCAACAATTAGTTTTTATATAAATTACCATTATTGTTGTGTTTATATTGTAATCTTATACGAAATGATATAGTAAATTAGTAATGACATGATCTGATGGTAGTTGAAAACCGTTAGGGGTCCTCTAACAGTAAAAACAAATTCTAATAAATAAAAAATAGTTTCAACAAACTAATCAATTAAAATTTTCATAAATCGATCAACTACCAACTGTCCTCAAACAAAAATAAACTCATAACTAACCGTGTAAAATTATTTTATCTTATCATAAAAACACATATCTGTAATTTTGTTCAGTTGTTACCTCCAGGAAAGATAAAAAGATTTTCCTGTCAAGCTCTATATTATTGCTTGATTTCTTTTTGTATCGTTTTTTTTTTTTTTTTTTTTGTAGCCTTACACCATTTGGCTTCAGCACTCTCAGTGCATTGAAAAAAAACATTAAATTTCACATTCCAAAATGGAAAAAAAAACTTTTATCTCATTTGGCATTTAAGATAATAATAATAATAATAATAATAATAATAATAACAAGTTTCATTCATTCAAAACGGAACAATAACAACGACAGTCGTTTGCCCCGACAACATACTTCGTAAGCTTCCGAGTTTCGGCTCTCTTTATCGATGTTAAAAGACATCATAGTTTGGCCAGAATAATGATACTGAAACAGCTGTTTCGTTTTTTTTTTTTTTTTTTTTGTAGCCTTACACCATTTGGCTTCAGCACTCTCAGTGCATTGAAAAAAAACATTAAATTTCACATTCCAAAATGGAAAAAAAAACTTTTATCTCATTTGGCATTTAAGATAATAATAATAATAATAATAATAATAATAATAACAAGTTTCATTCATTCAAAACGGAACAATAACAACGACAGAGAATAATTACATCAAAGCGTCCGTACGCGTAGTGTATTTTCCCATTTACAGCCAAGTAAAAAGTACATATCGTAGAGATCTCAATGGAAGTTGCGAGTGATCAAACCCTCGAAAATAAGGTAAAGATCTTTGTTTTCTTCTCCGAAAATCTCTTCTGCCTTCCCAAGGGTTTCCTGAAAATATATATATATATATATATAAATCCAATGTGAAAATGAAACCCTAAAATCTTCGAAAGCCATAGGAGATGGAGATGGAGATGGAGAAAAAGAGTCTAACTTCTTTGGTTTGTTTGTGGGCGTTGAGTTCCTTCACGTTACCCAAAAATGCACCAAACTGTTCATAAGACAAACGGCTCCTGCGAGATCAATGAAGGGAATGCCAGGTCATTCTATTGTTGAATTCAAGGACGGTAAAAAGATCAGAGATGTATGTTCAAATTCGAAAAGGCGGCCTTTTTACCCGAATTTGGTATAAAAACCTCAAAAGAGAGTCCGTTGAATTCAAGAACGGTTCAAAATCAGAAATGTGTGTTCGAAAATGCGGTCTTTTTAGCCGAATTTCGTATAAAAACCTTAAAAGAGAGTCCGTTGGATTCAAGAACGGTTCAAAATCGGAAATATATGTTCAGAAAGGCAGTCTTTTTAGCCGAATTCGGTATAAAAACCTTAAAAGAGAGTACGACAAAATTTCAAGTGGCTAATATCGCCGTAAACAACTAGAATAAAGTGTTTTACTACCTGATTCATAGGCAAGAAAGAGAAATTATGTCAAATGGGGTTCAAAGCAAGCAAAGATTTGAGCTTATAGTTCTACCTGACTTGACGGAAGAATTCTTTACCATCAACCCGAGTTCGCCCTGAACACATAAATCAGACAGCCACGTTCAATAACACTACGAGAGCGCAATGGAGAAACACTTGCACAGAAACAGATAAGGAACTAAATGAAAGCATACACCCTTCTGAACAACTACTTAACACCAGACATGAAACAAGAACAGGTTGGTTCTTGGATGTGATTACCCGTGTAAGAACCAGCTTCAGAAAATGAAGATCTGTCATCAAACATGCCTCTCGAGGTAGAGAATGACATGGCATGACGTTTTGGAGACAGAGGCTTTGATGTTCTTGTTGGTGAAGCAGAGGCCGATAATGTCGGTGGAGATCCAGGCGGAGTGAGTCTAGGTGTACTTGTCTTGGATGCTAACGGGAAGCTGGTTGATAAGCCGGGTTTAGGCACTGCAAAAAATCGACGATAAAAGCTTAGTTGTGTTCTTTCGGATTGGAGAATGAAAAGGTTTGGTGCCTCGAAAATTTTTACCATCAGTCTGGTTGTCATTTGAAGCAGACTCAACTGCTTCAGAATCCTGAGAATGGATTGAAGGATCTCTTGAAGGTGGCAATCGAGAATCATCGTCTGAATATCCAAAGAAGTGAGATCATTAAGCATTTAACGTGGAAGATTTCTTGAAACACATGCTAATACACCTCACCATGTTCCTTGCAACAAAAATAACTCCCAAGGGATCAATCTAAAAACTGAATATGACTAATGAACTCGAATCTAATCTACCAAACAATGAGGATTTTACCATTAGGGGTTGGTTTGGCAATGATTTGAGTTGTTCCTGCCTGTTAAAAGCCCGAACAAGAACACGAAAACTTAACAGGATGGTCCCTGAATGGAATTATGAGGCATTCCCATTTGAAGCTATGATCAACCGAAAAGCAAAAACGAGATACCGAAATAGTAGCTTCGTACATTTTCTTCATCCTCACGGAGAGACTGCATAAGCGTCTTTCTGAAACCCTCGAGCTGCACGAATTCGTGAAACGATCACGACATTGGATAATCTTAACTCAGTTTAACGTTATGTCTTGGCCAAACACTCCTCACTGGTTTCATGTGATGTACACAGAAGAATCAATCAAGCTTTGTCATTTAGTCCATATTCTGATGAATAACAGCACTGCAGAAGACTGAAACCATTTCTCTAAGCATGCCCATCGACATAGATACATACATATACTGATATACACATAAATATATATATATATGCACATGCACATGTATACATACATCAGCATGCACATTTTTATATGTATGATCGAAAGAATTAGAAATCAGACAATAACTAATTCTCCCTTTGAAGTTTTCTTTTCTAAAAACTTCTTAATGGGTTAAAGTTTCCGAATTTAATCAAAGTTTCAATTGTTTACATTACAGTTACATCGCATTTTCAGATTGAAACCCAATAATCCAAGAATTTGCTAATCTTAACAAACGCATACGTATAGAGGTATACATACGGATATACGGAATAGTTTTTCAGCTTCAATTTCGAGAAAATGACACTTCAAACCCAAAATCAGAAAGGAAGACGCACAATTCAAAACCTACCTTCGACACATCTCTCTGGAGTTTCCGCGCAGTACTGGACAACGAAGCGTTCTCCCTCAGCAAACTCTCCTGAAAACGAAGAAGAGCGAAAAAGAAAAAAGATCAAATCAAATTCTGAGTTTGATTCGTCGGGGAAGACAACGATCCGGGTCGGACCTTTTCCCTGTCCGACCGAGAGAGCTTCTCGAAGGCATCGGAGAGAGAAGCTTCGAGCGACTCGACCTGAGACTGAAGCTCGGCGATTGCTCTGTCTCTCTCGGCGAGCTTTCCCCGGAGATCCGACGACTCTGCCTCGAGGGCCGAGACACGTGTCGAGAGCGCAATGGACGTGATCTTCCGGGCCATGTCTAGCTGCTCGAATGGATCGGACGGTAGGATTTGGAGCAATTCCTCCGGAAGCTCGAGCTTTGTCGAACCCAAAACCTCACTCGATTCTTCCTCTCCATTATCCGACATTTTCGCATTACTTTTTTTTTTCCCTTTTCCGATTTTTATCGGTTTTCTTTCGAACCCTATGAGATTATACACGTGCGTGACTATGATACGGTATAACCCGGTTAACGGATTTCTTCCTCCCAACCAAATAATGGGTCAAACCGAATTGGTTTAGTATCACCTTTATATTTACATATATATTGGTGTACAGTTTGGATTTCAACTATTAACAAATATTTTTCAAATACAATTTCGCTTTGGTTTAAATTTTATAAAAAAACAAATTATACACATATATATATATATATATATATACAGACACATAAGATTGGTTTGGTATTACAATTTTTCCGGTTAGGTTATGGATTGATGGATTTAATTAATACACATCAAGTAGTGGCCTTTTTTTTTTTTTGATTGGATGAGAGGAAGATATTGGGTATAAGAGAATGTGGTCACGTATATTTTGTCCTTTTTTATTATTTGTATGACATATAATTGTTACGTATATAATGTGTGGCCTTTGGTGACCAAGTTAAAGTAATTTGTGATCTGTATATGGATAGGGACTCTAGGAACCAAGAAGAAGCTCTTGCTCTTATTTGTCTTTTCACACACACACACACACATATATATATATATATAGATAGATAGAGAGAGAGAGAGAGAGAGAGAGAGAGAGAGAGAGGTGATTGCTACTAAGTTTGGGCTTGATTTATAAAAGGTGGATGCTTAATTTTATTATAACGTATCGAGGGGAAATAGTGGTCACCATTTAAATAGACAGTATCAAAAAAGATATGTGAAAGAATGTAATTTCAGAATCATATCATAATTCACACACATATATATATATATATATATAATATCGATTCTTAATCCAAATCTTTGAACGCATTGCATGCATTATGTTAGCCCTTTCTTGGCTTCTAATTATGGTCCCCGAGGATTAGCTCTGCATGCAGGAAATGTGCAAGGGATATTCTTGTTAGAAAAAAGATATAAACATAAAAATGATCGATGATATCCCATATATAATTATAGAAATTGATACTCATTCATCATGTAACCAAGCTATATATATATATATAACATAGAATTTCCATAAATTTCAAGCGGAAAATAGAAAAAAGACGAACTATTATAGCTATATATATATATATATATATATTAATGATGGGACATAGTTTTGGTATTAGAGATATTGTTGTGATTGTAATCTAAGCACATATTAGGCAATCTTCCTATATTTACCAAATGTTAATTTATTTTTTTAATAATAGATATATGTTCAAAGCGGACAACATGCATGGGCTACTAAGTAATGAGATAATGTCATGTCATTATCTGCATGCATGGGCGGACCTACTTCTATTGCAGTAGGGTCCCAGACCCCATCGATTACTTAAGAAAAATATATACTTTTTTTTATAAAATCTAAAACAAATTTGTTAAATGGCCGTAATAAAATTAAATTTGTCATTACGAAATTTATTATCGTCTCCGAACATAATAATGTCTGCATGGGAAATAAAGGAGAAGAGACTTGGTCTTATTAGGATAAGCATTAATTTTCTTTACAGAGTTCGTGGTTGACAAGCTATATATATACAAGAGAGGTATATAAATTTGGTTTAAGTCGTACGTACAAGTATATGGAACTACACCATAGGTTATTGCGAATATGTTATTATTCGATATCACGCACGTCTCTATTTGCGAATATATATTAATATATTATTACATGCCGGCATTATAAAAAGTGTTTCATATTGCATTACTTTATAGTGAACCAACGAAATAATTCACTAATATCAAAATCCACACATGTAAGGCTGCTTGAACGAGTCTAAAACGAACTCTTACATATATAAATATATATATATATATATATATATGTATATGTATAAACTACATTTTATGTGTTGAATCCATTTTTTTATAGGTGAATAAATAAAGCTAGACGAATAGACTGCATACTTAATTTCATGATGATGTTATTTCATGATTAAATAATAAAAAAAAAGATAGATATTTTCTCACAAATTAGTTAGTTTGTATATGTCATTTGTTGGACATGAAAAGTCTCTAGCTCCAAAGTAAACGTATACTCTTACAAATAGCTGAATTTTGTATACAAAATTTCTAAATATAAGTTAAATTTGTATTTAAAATTAGTTAGGGTTCGACTGGTTGTACCGCAGTGGTTGTGGCTGCGGGTGGCAGCGTTTTCAAAACGTTTGATAGCGATTATAAATAATTAGTACTGACTGGTTGAGAAGTTGCTGTTGGTAGCGATTGCGGGTGGGTGCAGTTAGAAGTGAATGGTTCATTACGGTTGCGATTGCGTTTTGATATAAATTGTCAAAAAAAATATTATTTAAAAATAATTTTTTATAATAGTTTTAATTAAAATTTTCGTATCATTTGATAAAAATTATTTACTAAATTTATAATAATTAAATAATAAATTTAAAATATAAATATTATCAATTTAATTTATTTTCAAGTAAAAAAATAATTTTATTATAAAAATTATTAAAAATAATCATTATTAAACCTAAAAATTATACTATTGTATTTTTTTTATTAAAATATAATACTAAAAAATAATATCAAATCATAACACTAAACAAAATCATCACCAATATATATATATATTAATATTTTATATAATTTCTAATAAAAATATTTTAGTTTTTTTGTCAAAACGCCGGAAACCGCTACCAAAACGCAAGTTGGAAGCTGCGATTAGAAAACACAAGTTTGGTTGCGGTTGCGGTTGGTTGCGGTTCAACCACTCAGTTTTTCAATCGTCCGCAACCACCAGAAATCGCAACTGCTCTGTTTGCGGGTGGCGGCGGTGCAACCAGTCAGCCCTTTAATGTAATATAGTACTTATGGCAAAATACGTGTGTGATTACAACATGGTGAAAAATAAACTAGCCGAATACGTAGTTCATACAAAAGAGAATACATCCGTAGATCTCAAGTTAACAATATAAAATCAAATGCCAAATTGTTATTTCATAAAGGATAATCATTAATTAAAAAATACATAGGGATTTTGCCACCGTACCAAATCATGCACCCTTATATATGGATATACTCACACACATTCATTTGATCATACAAAAATAAAATAAACAAGAAAAAAAAAAGAGAGGAAAGAACATTGATCTGCATGTCCGATTCATCATCATCATCATCGCTTCTAATACCCAAAACATCATCATCATCATCTTCTTCTTCTTCTTCTTCGTCACCGGAATCAATGGCGGACAAAACATTCAAAGGCCTCGGCAGTCTCCTAAAGCTACTCCCGACAGGAACAGTGTTCGTATTCCAGTTCCTAAACCCCATAGTCACAAACGCCGGAAAATGCTCCCCGGCGAACAAAGCCATCACCGGAGTCCTCATCGGCCTCTGCGGCTTCTCCTGCGCCGTCTCCTGCTTCACGGACAGTTTCAAAGGCGCCGACGGGAAAAGAAACTACGGGTTCGCCACCAAGAAGGGTCTATGGACATATGCCGAAGCTGCAGGAACGGAAGTAGACCTGTCCAAATACAAACTGAACGTTGGAGATTACGTCCATGCATTGCTCGCTGTATCTGTATTTGCTGTAATATCGCTGTTGGATGGCAATACGATGCGTTGCTTCTATCCGGGGTTCGAGGAAACGCAGAAGGCTTTGGTAATGGCTCTGCCGCCGGTGGTCGGAGTTGTGTCGGGAAGCGTATTCGCTATGTTTCCGAGCAAACGCCATGGAATAGGGTACCCTCCGGCTGGCGACGAAGCTAATGAGTCCAAGATTTCTCCCTAAAGTGTGTTGTCATTATTATTGCATTGTTTTCGCTATGTAAGAAAGAAAACAAAAACTTCACCTTCTTGTGATTAAGAAAAAATCTCAAATAATTATTATTAGTGTGCAATTTTTCTTTTTACCAGATTCTTGTTAAATCATTAATTTGATGACGACTCCAAAAAATACACTGAATTTTATAAGATCTCCCAAAAATTTTAAGTTAAAACATTAAATAGGGTCAAATGTCAGTGTAGTTTTTTTTTAAAAAAAAAACTTGTAAAATTCATGATTTAAATTGAGAGTCGAAAAAACTTTTTATATTTCTGTGAGAATTTTAAAATTCATAGACTTAGATGGGTGATGTAACAACAAAGGATGACATTTTAATCTGAATTGGCTTTGGCTCTACGAGCAAAACTTAGTACTGTAATAGCTAACTATTACACAAACACTGGACCGACCTGACAAAAGTTTTACAAAATTGTGTGGGTTCTGTCCCTCGGAGATCAGATCAAACCCATGCGTGCCCATGTCCATGGCCGTCTTCTAGTTTCTTCTGCTTCTTCCTTCTCCGTCTCTCCGTCTTGGTCTCTGTCCGAGCCTCCAAGCGTTTCGATTGATGAGCTCGAATCTCCATTAGCTTGGCCTTGGCATCTCTGAAGGGCGCATCTGATCTCGATGACATCATTTGCTGAAAAACCCGACAAAAACATTCATACCCGAAAACGATATGGCTCTCCTAACGTCTATCGATTCTCCGGGATTCAAAAACCGAGGTCAAATTTTCATAAGGTAGTTCATTTCTCCGACAGTAAATTCTTGTTCCACACCAGAGGGGTAAGAAAAAAGTGGTAGTGGTACCTTCAGGTGATCCATGGCGGCCAAATTGAAACCAATTGTATCTTTGCATTCCTGGTAAACAGACTCAAAATGTCAGTCAATCAAATCAAAGCAATCATCTGAAACAACTCCTTTTTTACGGCTAAATCGTTCTTTTACGTTGCGGAAATTCACCAAGAACACAGGGGGGTACCTTTACTCTCGCATGAAGAATGTCTCTGAGAACCGTTAAGACAGGCCTAGCGGCGGGAGTAGTAACCAACTGGTTATGATGGGTCTGTAATAGAATGGCTGCAACCCTGCAAACGAGCTCGACCTGCGTGGATTTCATGCCAACCGTTAGAGAGTTCAAAGATGAAATAAACGGCTTCTAATGTGCATGCACATCATCAGAAAGCAGCGATACTCATACTCTCCAAAAAATTCATCAAGCTTGACAATTTAAGCCATTCAGAAATGGAGGTTGAGTCTTGGATATGATGAGAAAAGTTATAGTAAGGGTATAGAGCCACCTTGTCTGGACTAGAAGTCCAGTCTTTCAGGTAAGAGAGAAGCTTCAAAGCATCCGAGAAAGGTAGAGCCTATATAAACCAGGAAAGACAACTTCAATCAATGAACAAAACCACATGATGGTAATTACGTTGGTGCTAACAAAAGAACATGTTAAATGCCACAGAGAGGATGGTATTTGGATTTGATCTGGAAGAACATCAGCTTACCAGTAAGGTCTGCTCAAGATCGTTTGTTTTGACGTTTGAAGTGGCTCGGAGAACATAGTCCGATGGAGAAAGCCCGAGCATCACAACATTAGGCAGGAAATCAGCGACCTCTGCCTTTGTTTTCTCCTCCTGAAAGAAAATGACACAAAATGGAAAACCCGGGTCTCAAATTGAGAGATGGGAAGAAGCCCGAAGGCACTTTTTGAAATGTATTAGGGAATGTACACATAAATCTGCAAACCAAGTAACAAATCTCCACCTCATATGCAGAAAGGCGTGTCTTTTCCTCTTCTGCTACATCAAGGGATTCTATAATCGAATCGGTAGCTGTTAGGGTTTCTATTGTTTTCTTCCCTGCTAAAGCTGCAACACCTTCCTCAGGGACTTCCTCTTTAGGTGCATGCTTGTCCTCAACTGTGTTGTCAATCTCAGACTCAAACATCTCCTCCAACCTCTTTTCTTTTTCCTCCTGAAAAAATTATCAGCAAAACCAAATAGAATAAAAACAATATCATATAGACACCAGCTCCATACTCTCTGGAGACTTGAACTTATAAAATCATGCTACAAGAAAAGAGAAGTTAAATGTTAGTCCATTTTCTTGAATTTTTCGTTTGTGTAGATTAAGCATTGAATCTGATTGTTCAGGCAAAAATTAATAGAAGCAGTACCTCGAGGAAGAAAGGTTCTTCGGTCCGATCCCAACGACGCATTGACCGATCATGAGATCCTGTCACTATAAAATCGCCACGATTGCTGACAGCAAGGCACCATATCTCAGCATGATGTCCCTCGAGAGTCAACAACAGCTCGAACTTATCGGCATCCCAATACTTCACGAGACGATCTTTCCCGATGCTGAACATGTAATGTGTATTCCTAACAAACTTCACAGCCATGACACTGTAAAGGGAAGCCATGTGTCAGTAGAAACTGCGCAAACATTTAACAGTAGCTAGGGTTCTTGCATTAGTATCCATCATGTCCATACACTGACTTCAACATCACCAAATTCTTAAAGACAGAGCAATATTTCACTATATCGGTTCAACAAACTGTTGAATCGGGTAAATCTGTTTTATGAAATTCTTTTATTTTTCTAGTTTAGACTGTGTGTGGTATAGTGGTTCTCCTTTTTTTAATATCAACAGAAGGTATAAGGTTCGACCGAACTATCTTGACAAACTATTGAACTGAATGCTTCTCGGTAGAAAAGAAATATTGAATAAATGGTAAACCATTTTTAGAAAACTGGTAATGTTTTGAAGGTACCTGTCACCATGAGCAAAGATGGACTTATGGCAATCACCAAAGTCCAAACCCCAAATTTTCAAATTTTTGTCCTGAGAGCCAGTTACAATCAAGTCTCCATCCGATGAAATATCAATGCACATCACGGGTAGCTTGTGGCCATATAGTGAAAGGTAGAATTTTAGAGAATCCATGTAGAAAACCTGAGGCACAACACAAGACAAGACAGAAGTTGAAGTTACATAATGCAAAAAAAAAAAAACACTAATAGCATCAATAAAGTTTAGTGAGAATGGTTAATTCTTCTTGATTATAAAACAACTTGGGGCATGACTTGAAGAAATGGAGACAAAAGACAAATAAGAAGAAAACATACAGAGAATATGAAAAATGTACCTACCTTTACTGTGGAATCTAGCAGAGCAACTGCAATATATTTAGCATCAGGACTAATGGCAACAGCAAGTACATCATCATTCATCTTCATGGACCTCACATTTGATACGGTAAGTTGCTTGGTTTTCTGCAGGTGAATAAACATGATATATGTTAATAGAATCATATAGGCAAAACGCAAAATATAACTCAAAACTAGTAACCACTGTAGTCAGCTAAATCCAAGCTTTAAAAAAGGACAGCCTGATGCACAAAGCATCCCGTTGAGCGGGGGTCCGGGGAAGGGTCTCACCACAAGGGTGTATTGTAGTTGTAGGCAAATCCAAGCTTTAAAAGGAAAACATAAATTCCAGGGGGAGAGCAAAGCTGAATTCCAGTGTCAAAGAAACAAAAGGGGACAACACTCACTTGGTCAGGTCTCTTTTTCACGAGGTATTCCCAAAACTTGACTTCATGATCTGCACTCACGGTGACAAACCCGTTATCGTTCGGAATGGGAGCAATTGACCAAATGGTTCCACCATGAGCCTCCACTTCTTCCACTTTGGTGGCACTCCCGATATCAATGATTTCCAGTGCCCCATTCTTTGTTCCAACAATACCATACTTATTGTTAGGAACGATCAAACTGCAGAGTCCATATGCTGAATCAACAGTTCGAAGACAAGAACCGGTTGTTGGATTCCAAATCTTTACTTCACTGTGACTGGTTGACATCAAAAGGGTGTTGTCTTCACTAAGAGTAACACTCCTCACATCAGAACGATGCCCTTGGTATTCAATAGTGACAGTTTTCTCATTTTCACCACTCTTGAGAGAGTAGAACTCCAGCGAGTTATTGTTTAAAGACAAAGCTAAGGTCGCTAAGGAATCTTTCGGAACATTTGGAGAAAAAGAAAAAGAACATATTTTTCTGCTAGCCCTGATGACCTGCAAAAGCTTAAAAACGTCAGGTACGGTAGCGGTGGGAGCGCAATCAGTTTCTTCAATTTCATTAGTTGTTTCTCCATTTTCGATCAAATTTTCATCCCCGCTTTTGGAAGATTTCTTCTCCTTCCTGCGAAGCCTACGCTTTGCCTTCCGTTTAGCCTCAAATTCATCCAATACCCGGAATATCTCAATGGTTTTTCCTGCCATTTGACAAGCCAGCAGATTCCCCGACTTATTGTACCTTACAGTTGCAACTCTATCCTTAGTTTGTCTCTGAATTTCCCCGAACAACTTCAGCATTTCCCATTTGTTCCCAGTAGAATCATCTCCATTGGTTTGAACTCCGTTTTCATTTGTAAGAGACACCAATGATCCATGTGACGAGTCTTGTTTAACGGCAAAATATCTAAGTTCAGGATCGGCAGAACCACTAACTACGTATCTTTCCTCAGGATCGACATCAATGGACCAGATTTCACTATGATGACCACTAACTATTTGCATACAGTGCTGTGTTTCAAGATCCCAGACTCTCAAGAATTTGTCCTTGGAAGAACTAACAAGCTTCTTACCAGAATCCAAGAAAACAAGATCTGTAACCTACAATACACAAAGGAAGGTCACCTTGTCAAAATAAAAAGGGGGAAAATTAAGTCACCACTGGGACCCAGAGAAGGAGAAAATTAAGATTGAACAACCATGAACTACAAGATAGAACCATAAAACTAGACATAGAGAAAAAACCTGATCACGATGGCCACGGAGACGAAAAAGGCCAGTTTCCCCGACGACATCCCACAAGATGACATCATTATCTTTACTACCAGATGCCAGCATAGAGCCAAGCTTGTTGTACCGAAGGGCGGTCACTGCTCCCTTATGGCCATTCAGTGTAGTCTCGCAGGTTCCTTTCTCACAGTCCCAAACTCTTATACTCCCATCGGCATACCCAACTGCCACCTGGTTGATTCCATAGAAACAAACACCAACTAAGTTCTCATTTTTTGTGAAACCGATAGTGAATAACGCAGTATGAATATCATATTTCTCGTAAAAATCTATTTCCTCCATGCAACTTTTAGCAAAGCTTCATTACATTTTGCTTCAAAAGTCAGAAAAAGAATACGAAGAAACGAGACTACAATTAAGCAAAATCCAAGGACTGTGCTTTTAATTAACCTAGAAAGAAAAAGGATGCAGCCTTTCTCAGTTCCTAAAATTTCCCCACAAAAAGAATAGAACTTTCACCAAGATTAGCTAAGCAATCGGTTCCCTTGAATCAAACTGTTCAAGCTCCGAAATTTATTCACTGATTGGAATTTCTTTGCCAAAAGTCTGCATGTTTAGCTTCTAAAAAGACAGGGATATACTTCAACTCTATCTCATTCTGATGTCTATTGAGACTTGAACTTAATAGATTACTAACTCAAAACTTTTTTCAAAAACTGAAACTAAACGGGATTAAAGCATCAATTACCAGATTAGATGGAGAGGAGACGACAGAGGTAACTGCCAGAGATGGTCCACCGTGAGAGGAGGTTGGAACTAGGGATTTGGTGCAAACACCTTGTCGGACATGCCAGATTCCGACCTTCTCCAGAGCCGGAGACAGAACATGTTTCCCCGTAGAGTCGTATGTGATGTTTGAATCCAACGACGCAATCACGCCGAAAGAAGACGCGGGCTCGTACCTTAGGTAGGCCTTCACCATTGCTAAAACCTTTGATGTTTTCCTCTTCTTCTCCTTCCTCTTTTACTGCATATAGCTTTTGGTGTTTAGGACATAAATCAACACCAAGTACACTGACTTTGTTAAATGTACTCCTCACTCTGCAGACAATGAACTCGACAAGAGCCGACACGAATCAAAATTCAGACACCCAGATCGTGTTGTTACCCCCAAACAATCAACGCAGACACCGATACAGACGTTCATCGCTCAATCAAAGCAAGGAAATTCAGAACGGAAAAAAAATTAAGGCAATTAGCAATTAAAAGATGAATCAAAGAGACAAATGGAGCTGCCAAGATTGGAACTTACCAGAAGATTTAAAAGAGAGGACGGAGACGATGGAGAGCGGCGACGCCGGCGAGTCGATTCAGTGGATGGGTTTAGGGTTTATTAGCTTCGTCCCTCTGGGTTTTTTTTTTTGGTCGTCGTTGCTTTTTTTCCCGCTGTTTAGAAAATTACACCATTAGCCTTGTCTACGTGTCGGACTCTTGTTATTTGAAGTAACTTTTTAATTACAATGAAGTCCGTTAAGTATTTCTTAACATTCCATTCAAGTATATAATTATACTACAGCTTTGAATTTTTTTTCTTTATTTTGAACAACGACAATTGTCTCTTTAAAATATTTTTAAATAAAATTATTGAAAACATATACAAGAAAATATATGATAGAGTTATACGTTGTTGAATTGAGTCATTATCAAAAATACTTCTTATTTTATTTTGCTATATAGACATTACATCATATCTTTCTAAATATTTTTTTATTAGCAGCGTGACCATCGTAATCTATTTTAGGATCACATTTATCAGATCATACAAAAATAGATTTAAAAAAGGCGTAGTTTAATATATATATATATATATATATATAACAAAGTAAAATAGTTTTGATATAATGTCTGTTGAATTAAATCGATTTACGATTAGATTGACACAAGCAAATAGGCTCGTCCGAATTAATTTAGGGTAGATAGTAAAATAACATATTTTATTTAATTGTGTAGAATGATAAAATATCTTTAAATCAAAATCTGAATAAAATGTCCCCTTAAAAAAGTTAAATTCTAATATTACAATTAGATTCAATCATTTGCACCTTTGATTGTTGATAATAATATTTCTAGAATCAGATCAGTATTAGTTCATTATTGATTATTTGGTATATATATATATATATACACTTCTAGTAGTATGGAAATTCTTTTCCACATTTCTAATCCATATATGGTTTCTCCCACTACAAATGTTGAAAACATTGCAATATCCCTTTATATATGTGTGTGTGTGGACAACCCTTAATCTTAATCTGCCACTTCTTGAAATTTTTACCAACCATTAAATGCACCCAAATAGGATAATTATACTTATATATATATATATATACCCAACAGATCGTGGACGAATGGTCAAGTTTAGAGTAAGAGGTAACTCCACTTTGAAATTGAGATTGAGTGTTCGATTACTTTCTAGTAGGGAATAATGTAATTTCTGGATTTATATGATTCATATACAAAGACTGTTTTCGAACCGAAAGTTTACTTAGTTAGCGCGTTCGAAGTCTAGCTAGCATATAGGTTCTTACCTTGTAAAATATATATATATATATATATATATATATATATATATATGCACGCGCGTGTGTGTGTGAGGGGGCGTTGCGGGTCTTTTGACTAAATCTGGTCGTTGTCAATCATCGGCATTATACGTGAATTTCTGACTAATTATACATTTGCATAAGTTTCCTCTATAAAATAAATAAAACTAAAGATTTGTTCCACAATAGGCGGACCCAAAACTATTTTTATGTGGGGACAATAGTAATATACGTATAATTTTAATAAACTTAATTTTATTTTGATGTATGTATTAATATTATTTGTAATTTTATAAAGAAATTATTATTTTTAATTAATTATACGGACAGGTGACCCCACTCTACAAATAGGTATGTCCGTGTTCATGCCACATTTAGTATGGGCGAACCCAGTTTGACAAGAAGGTGGCATATGCCCCAATTTGTTTGATGAAAAATAGTAATTTTTTTGTAAAATTTATAAGATTTTTAACAAAATTGTTAGATGCCCCATTATAAATTCATGTTTATCATATAGTAAACTTAAATTTGCCCCCATTTATATTTTTTTCTAGGTCCGTTAGTGAAAACATTGAGGTTCAACCAAACAATACTTTTAAGAACCCTATTTCTGAAATAACTACCGAGAAATTTGTATATACTTATTTTATATACCTCAATTTTACTATATTGTACAAAAGATTTCAGACTGGAAAGATATAAACGTATCGCTTTTTGTATTCATATTTTATTACAATTAAAAATTAATAAAATAAATGAAGCGTGTAGTTATAAAAATCAATTGAATCATATTCACGTTATGAGGTTTCTGATTCACTGTGGGCATTACTCAGTGTGCAGTCGTAACCATTCGGAATGGAACCGACGAGACTGTTGGGTGGAAAACGTGCATCCCCTATTTTCCACAACTTCCCACCCATTTTACAATATCATGTAAAACTCTTTTTTTTAATATATATATATATATATATATATATATATATATATACTTGCATTTTTTTTTGTGGGTCATCATTTTCAGTAAGCCCCTAATCATTGAGAAAATAACGTTGTTTTCATTCAAAAAATATGTGGCATATATAAATCTAATTTTATCATATGATAGACAAATGCTCACCATTCAATTATCATACAAATGGACCATGGTACTATATATATATATAATTATATATTAGTCACGGTGGTAAGTAGAATGAGCGGATCGGATGGATGGAGAGCGTGCATATGCAGCCACCAATATATATATATATATATACATGGTGTGTAGGTGTGCGTCTTCCTTTAGCATATACATGCATGCAGCAGGTACAAATCAAATATAATTAATTTCGGTTTTAGGCAGTTTTCCTAAATGTATACTCATGATTTCAAAACCTTAAACCTATACATCGTTTGATAAAAACACAATGTTATACAATTGTATGACCATTACTTCGCCTATATATATATATACACATATATATTGTATGTGATATTTTTATTTTAAATCCTTAATTTTAAAAGATAAAATTTGTATACACGCAAATTCTGTATTTGATGTTTTTATACATTAAACGCTAAAAAATAATTATACGGCGGGAAGAGACAGCAGGCATCAATGCACTTAATTAAAAGTATATATTATGTAAATATAATGCATTCAAGTATTTAGCATATATTAGTGTGTGTATATATATGTGCGTGTAAATACAGAGTTGCAAATACCGGATGACTGGCTCAACCGGTGGCACCTACCGCCTTAAATGCACTCACATCCCTATATATTTCAACGATCATTTCTTCTAGTAACATACCTCCAAGGGGCAAAAATATCATATTATAAAATATAAGAAGATTCCAGAGAAAATGACGGTCGAATCACTCGTTCATGTGATGCTCGTCTCGTTCCCGGGGCAAGGCCATGTAAACCCTCTTCTCCGTCTCGGCAAACTCATCGCTTCAAAGGGTTTCCTCGTCACCTTTGTCACGACCGAACTATGGGGTCGGAAAATGCGACGAGGCAACAAGATCGTCGATGGCGAACTCATCCCTGTCGGAAAAGGCTTCGTCCGGTTCGAGTTCTTCGACGACGAGTGGTCCGACGACGACGAGAGACGAACCGACTTCGCGTTCTTCTTGCCACAGCTCGAACTCGTTGGACGACGAGTCATCACCCGGCTCGTCAAGTCGTACCAAGACAAGGACCAACCCGTTTCTTGTCTCGTCAACAACCCTTTTATCCCTTGGGTCTGTGATGTGGCCGGAGATCTTCGTATCGCTTCTGCTGTCCTTTGGGTCCAATCTTGCGCCTGTTTCGCCGCGTATTACCATTACCATCACCGTTTGTCTCTCTTTCCGACCGAGACAGAGCCCGAAATCGACGTCCAGTTGCCTTACATGCCATTGTTGAAGCACGACGAGATTCCGAGCTACCTTCATCCTTCATCTCCTTTCTCCGGGTTCAGAGACGCGATTCTCAAACAGTTTGCGAACCTGGACAAGCCCTTCTGCGTCCTGATAGAGAGTTTCGACGCATTAGAGCACGAACTCATCGACTACATGTCGAAACTCTGCCCCATCAAGGCCATCGGACCGCTTTTCAAGATCGCCGGAACAGTGAACTCTAACGTCAGCGGAGACATATGCAAACCATCAGACAACATCGTAGAGTGGTTGGACTCGAGACCCGCGTCCTCGGTGGTGTACATCTCCTTCGGGACCGCGGCTTATCTGAAGCAAGAACAGATCAACGAGATCGCATTCGGCGTCCTGGACGCGGACGTGTCGTTCCTGTGGGTCGTGCGGCCACCGCCGGACGAGGCCAAAGTGGAAACTCACGTCCTGCCTCAAGAACTGAAACACCAATCTTCCGACAAGGGCAAGATCGTGGAATGGTGTCCGCAAGATGAAGTGTTGCAACACCCTTCGGTCGGATGTTTCTTGACCCATTGTGGATGGAACTCGACGATGGAGGCTATAACGTCGGGAATTCCGGTGATATGTTTCCCTCAATGGGGAGATCAAGTGACAAACGCTGCGTATTTGGTGGATGTGTTCAAGACAGGTGTACGGCTCTGCCGTGGCGCGGCGGGGGACAGGATCGTACCAAGGGAGGAGGTGTCGGAAAAGTTGACGGAGGCCATGGTGGGAACGAAGGCGGAGGAGCTCCGGAGGAATGGGATACGGTGGAAGGAGGCGGCGGTGGCGGCGGTGGATAAGGGCGGTTCTTCGGACAAGAACTTTAATGAGTTTGTGGACAGGTTGAGTTACAACGTGATACATTCAAATTCTTATTAAGACCAAGATTTTTTTTTCGGGCTCTCTTAAAGTGTCATCGGTATCAAAAACTAAGTAGTGTTTGCTTTTTTTTTCAGTGATTTAATATTTGTAACAAGTTTCGGTCTATTGTTATTTGGAAAATAAATTATTGTGATATGAATAGGAGAACCGGTCTATATTGGTTTATAGCGGGTATTTTTTTTTATAGCGAGTATTATTATTGTTCAATATCACAAAAAATAAATACAAGATTATTTTTTAATTGCCCACTACTTTTCTTGAAAAAAGTCTTTTTACTATATATATATATATATGTATATATAGTATAATTGGTTTGTAAGGATTCGAAACATCGCATCCCACAATTCTGTTAAGATTCGCAACGACAAAATATCGACATTGTAAATATAAATGAAAATCAATTTGAAAACGTGGCTTATTTGAAAACCCTAAAACTGAAAACACACACACATATCATATATGAAAGATTTTTAACTATACAAAATAAATTGGACGTACAAAATACAACATAAAAATCAAAACTATGGGTTATACAAAAAATCTAAAACTCCAAAAGTCCAAATTAATGTATAAACTCCAATAACATAGTGTCCAAATAAATAATCCGGTCTGTTAAAGAGCCATCTCAAACAATTCCGATATTAAATTACGATATTAAATTATAAAATTTTTAATTTTTAAAATTTAACTAAAAAATAATTAAAATAAAAAGTAACTAACAAAAGTTAATTTTTTATTTTTTATAAAAAAATAGTATAAAAATATCTGAACTTTTATGAAAATCTCAAATAAATATCTGAACTATAAAACTTTCGTATAAATATCCGAAGTTTTGAAAAATACATAGACTTCTAAAAATTTTCCCAAATAATTATTAATTTAATTTAGTTTATCAAATTTCTAATTCTATTCCCATATATTGAATAAAAAAGTAAATTTACAATTCAAATAAAAAAGTTTTTGTTAATAATATTAAATAACAATTTTTATATAACAATAATGAAAGAAAAAAATATAAATTTAAAAATAAATATTCAATACCTAAATAAAATTAATAGTTAGATATCAAATTATGTAAAAAGAGAAAACGATTTAAAAAAATAAAATTAAAAAGATTGTGATGAAATTTTTTAATTTTACCTTTAAAATATAAAATATTAAAATATTAAAGTGGTAATAATATTAATCAGTATTATTATTTTCTAATAATATTTTAAATTTTTTAATAATAAATAAATTATATAAAACAAAATAAAATGACAAATTATAAATTTAAAGAAAACCCTTGAGACGGCCCTATTATTAACATTTTCCACTTTAGACCTGTTTTATCAAAAACTTTGAAAGATAAGTATACCAAAATAATGATTATAATGTTTTAAATGACAGAAAAGGAAGTTTAATTATCTTGTTACGTTTTAAATCGAGATTTTATTGAACAACAATGAAATGAATAGTATAGTGTCAAAATTTAAAATTATCTCGACAGCGATACATTACAATTTTCTAAATCTGACCCTTACTTCTTCATAACGTTCAAACCAACCCCCGTTCTTACAAAAGTAACAAAACTAAAAAATCTGAACCCGGATCCGGACCCGGATTTCGATTTCACATTTATAATAACTCGTGGCGGAGCAATCGCCAGAGATCCCGAGTCACCGAGTCATCTACCGGAACGACTCGGCTTCTCTTCTTCCTCGAGAATGACGGAAACAGTAACGATATCGGCACCGGCGACATGACGCACATCGCCGATCCGGAAAAGACTTTGCCGGCGGCGATTTCTCCGTCGTTCTTCGACGGAGATTTATCACGCTTGATCATCGAATCCAACAACTCTCCTCTTCTCGGAATCGCCAGTTTCTCCTACCCATCTCGGAGGCGGCGGCGGTTTTCGCCGCGGTGACGTCATCGGAGCCTAGACAACTGTTTCCGGTGACAGGTTCTCCGACGCTGAAAACCCGCCGGTGAAGATCTTAACTGATCAGCAAAACAATACCTCCGGTCTAGACGACTGTTTCCGGTGGCATTTTATATTTTATTTTCCATTTTTAAAGTTCCCATCATCATCTTATTCCGATTCGCAAATGATAATCCTCTTTGTATCTCGTGTAATATCCACACAAAATATTATAAAGTCCACAAAACAAACGCAATGGACGGTGTCTATATATAATCGCGATTGCATGTATACAGTATTACATAAAAACATGGCGTTTACGTTAACACGAGGAGTGCACCATCATCAACTTTATGTACGTAGTAAATACAATATATGTAGAGCTATGATCCATCAGAGTTTGCCGCAATCATAACGAGTGTGACGAATCTGATCGTAGAACAAGACCATCAACAGAACGAGAAGCATCACCTTCGCAACCCCAGATGATGCCCCGACCAGCTTTCCCGTGAGATAAACCTGCGTCGACAGCGCAAACACCCTCTTCCTCCTCTCCCTCACGTATTCGTCGATCGCTTCCTCGACCATCCCTTTCCTCGGGGGAAAAACGTGACCTTGGCCTAACTTCTTCCCCAAGCATCTTCCCAGAACCACGGCGTCTTCGAGGGCGGCGCAACCGCCTTGCCCTAGGAACGGACCCATCAAGTGCATCGCGTCTCCGGCCACCGTGACAGTGCCTCTCCTGAATTTCCCTACCAGTATCTCCCACGGCGGTCGGTATCTTATACTGCTCATGTATAACGAACTCACGTCACAGTTCTTCACCATCTCTCTCCATTCCTCTGGGAGATCCTTTGTCGACCCTTTTGTCAATTCCGCGATTGCTTCTCGATCTCTCGAGATCTCGGATTCTGGATCCATATAAACGAGGACTATGTCGAGTTTTTTTTTTCCTTCTTCTGAAGATCATTGTAAGGCGGGAGAGGATGATATTACATTACCTTGTTGAGAATAATGCGGGAAATATGTGAACCAAAAGACGAGCCTGTCGGTGACAGGAAGTCTTCCGCATAAGACATTTTCCATCTTCATAGTCACAACTTCAGGTTGAAATCCATGTCCGTCGGGGTAACTCGTGAATCCTCGCACGGCACGAGAACCGAAGGCCCTTGTCGGATTCATCCGTAGGAAATCGGCGATCACGGAGTTCGAACCGTCGCATCCGATCACGACCTATAACAAAAATGTTTCCCCCCCCCCCATAAATTTTATACATGGATGCACCATTTATACACACATGCAGTCCAAAATATTGAAATGTGCTGTATCGATCGACCTTCGCTCTGATACTCCTTCCGTCCTTGAACCGAAGAATCGGGAACGACGATGTTTCGTCGATATTCGCCGAGACAAGTCCATACCCAAATCGGATAGTTCCTTCGGGAAGAGCCTCCGCCAATGCCTTCACCAATTCGTTCCTTTTCAAACAGTTCACTGCCCCGTAACTGTTGTAACACATTTGATTAGTTTCAAAATTTATAAACGTATGTATCATATAATATACAATGAAATAAATAACAAAAAATAAATAAATAGGGCGAGTTCGCACGTACGCGGCCGGTCCAACCGTCTCATGCCGCTTCCCGTTCTCGTAGAACACACTTCTGAATCTGTTCATGTCTTCAAAATTATTGGATTACCGAGTTACAAAGAATGAACATATATCACAATTACAATAATTCATTTAGAGCCCGATTGTTTGTCAAGCGACATCTGCGACTTTTGACGGTTACGGATAGGGGTGACCATTTCGGTTATTAACCGAATAACTGAACTGAACCGAACCGAACCAAATAAGACATAATCATACCCGAACCGAATCCGACATTAAAACCGAATAGTTATGATTTCCTTAAATCCGAAAAAACCGAAACCGAATTGAACTGAATAAAAGTTAACCGAAAAAACCGAAAAAATAACCGACAATTTTTTTGAAAAACTGAACTTTTTACCGAAATCGAACCGAATCCGAAATAACCGAAACGAACCGAACCGAAGTTTATACCCGAATATAATCGAACCGAACCCGAACCGAAACCCGAATTGGCCACCCCTAGTTATGGATGATTAGAAATCTCGTTAATTTAATCACAATAGTTTAAATTCGTAATAAAAAATGAGAAATGATAATCGCAACTCTGCTACACCGGTTTATGATATTTTGCTAAAAAGACGATTTTATCTCAAAACTTATATGATAATTACAAAGATGCATAGATTTTTTTTTAATCTACAAGGAACTCTTACTTCTCAATATAAAATATTTTAAAAAAAACTATTACTATTCAAAATCGTAACAATTATATATTCACCCGTCACTTTTGATTCGAACTGCAACAGTTCACAATCGTCATCGGCAACTGTCAAACGTTCATAATCGCCATCAAACGCAATTTTCACAATCGCAATCGCTAACACGATCGGTGGAACCCTTAAAATTAAAGGTTCTAAAGAAACGAATGGCTTACCGATGAAGAGGTACAGAGTTAGAACGACGAAGCTTATCGGCGACACCAAGCTCTTCAAGAGCTCTCCAACCGTTCGGATGAACTCCGAGTGCAGCTCCCTCCGACCTCACACGCTCTGCTCTCTCCAACACCACACTCTTTATACCCTTCCTGCACGCATGTATATATATGCACACAAATTTTGTTTGTACATGTTTTTTTTATATAACTAGGAAGTTCATCGAGTTTTCGGTTCGACTACATATCCGACGATCCGGAGGCAACCTTTGTACATCAATTAAAATTTTCCATCTCCTCCCCAATCTGCGGTTCGAACATGGGACATGAGACAGAGATAACCGGTCCCTCTCAACCACCTACGCCATTAGGCTGTAAGGGTACCCATGATTCGTAAAATTTTCTTAGTTGGGTTACGCGAAAATTGGCGTGTTTAGGGTTTAGGGAAACATATAATACGTATGTATATATATACGGCCGTCAAAAGGCATGTGCAAGTGGAGTAAAGGTACAGGGCCCCACAATTTGATGAGCCCCATATTTTTAAAAAATGATTTTTAAATACTAATAATTTATAATTATATTTATTAATATACATAAGATAAATAATTAAAATTATATTTGACATAAGGTTTTGTAATTATCATCATTAATATTTACAATTTTTGAGTTATGTTTGTGATTTTTTAACATTAAATTTATCAATTAATATAATTAAAAAAATATTTAATATTTTTATAAAAATAAAAAAATATTTTGTACGGGGCCTCTAAATCGTTCGGGACGGCTATATATATTTATCGAATTTTAGAGAATCTGAATATCGGGGAGAGAGAGAGAGAGAGAGAGAGAGAGAGAGAGAGAGAGGGGGAATTGGAGTTAAACCTATGAAGAGCAAGTGAGGTTCCAAGGCCTGCAACACCACCTCCCACAATCACAACGTCCATCTCTTCCATTCTTCTTTCTCTCTCTTCTTGGTTCTCCACATCAAAAAAATAACACTCTCCAACTCTTTTGCTTTATGCCCTTACACACACACATATATATATATACATATGTGTATATATATAGATGGACCAACACACAAGTTGGATGCATATATATATATAGTATTCCAAACGAGGGCGTCTTTTAACTCGAAAGAAAAATCAACAAGTGGGAGATTAGAGTCTGTCCACTCTTAACTCGAATTTCGCAACGTTTTCAATATTTTGTACCATAAAACACACACCCAAATTAGACATATACCTTCTGTGTGGGAGTTTATTACAACCAAACAGAATAAGGTTGTTGGGGAGGTTACTAAATGATTTTTTTTTTTAAAAGAAAAAGGGAAATTTGGTACAAATTTGTTAGATGCTACTGTCTTTTATTTGACCTATACACTGTTTTCGAATATGTAATATTTGATAATTCTACAAAAAAAAAATATTTGATTTATGAAATAAACTGAACCTAGAGTAAAAATAACGTCTAAAAATAAATTATTCAAATTATATTGGAGTATTTAAATTTCGGTTATAGCAAAACGACAAAGGAAAGTGCATAATTTTCATTCGTTTCTTTTTTTCTCCTGTCCCACATAATTTTCATGTGTTATATGATATTATATCATTTAATCCATCGGTTGGTCAAACTCAATTGTTAGATTAGATTTGTGGTTCTCGTTCTGCTGACGTGGAGCAAAGTAAATCATTTTCGTCATGGTGTGGAGAGAGTTTGGTAAAGGAAAAGAATAGTCAGAGAAATGATCAAATATTAAATAGCGGCAACAACAATAATAATAAATGTTAATTTAAAACAGAAAATTTTAAAGATATAAAATTATTAATAAATATACAAATACATAAATTACATTATAAATTCAACGTTTTAAGAAAAATATTATTAACATTATTTTATTAAACGATAATTAAAATGGTTAAATTAAAATAATAGATCAACTTTCATAATGTTAGAAGATTTCTATAAAAATAGTAACATTAAAAACATGGATCAAATATTTATACTTTAAAACTTTTGATATTTTTTTTATATTTTAACATTATTATTATGATTTTGATCAAATTCAGCCACACTTAAAAAATCATGTATTTATATTAAAAAATCTAAAATATAAATAGTATATTTATATAAAAAATATACATTTAATTCAAAATTTTATTAATTTTGCAAAACATATTAAAATTATTCTTAAAAAACCATGTACAATATTAAATACTAAAAAGCTAAAAAAGAATATGTGGCTATTTGGATGCAATCAATCATTCCATCCGAACATTTTTGGGTTCGACCTCTCCAAGAAGAAGAAGAAGAAGAAGATATCAATATTTTAATTACATATATATGAAAAAGTACACTCAGATTTATTCAATCAAAAAACCAAACTGATTATATTTCTTTGATACTTGTTACACTTCAATCTTTTCCAAAGTAACACTCAACCCACTCACTTTTACTCCTTCTGAGTAAAATCTCAGTATCACAAGAAATTCTATCAGTCACAAACACTTTGTGTGCAACGCACATCCCGTGTTACCGCAAACCACGTCTATGCCCAGTGAGCGGTTCGTCTGTTACTTAAGACTCCCCCTCAGATGTACCTCACGTTCTCTCAGATATCACTCACCAATGTTTCCCGTACATATGAGTCTTCAGCATATATAGACTTCTCTAAGTGATTCTCTCAATATCTTCTGAATATGTGATTTGCCTTTTTTCATTGATGTGAATGTCTTCTTTTCGTGTGTGTTTTCCAGATTCAGCTCCACACTTTCATTTGTCGATTTGAACCTCCTAGATGTTTAATATGTTATTTCTTTATTTTAACAATATATAACTCATTCTCAAGTGTTCTAATTTATTTAATTAATTAATTAAAAAACTATCTAGAAAGAATTGGACAAAAAAAGTGAGATTGATAACATACAAGTTCAACTAAAAATCACCATAACCATGTATGTATGTATGTATACAAATGCATGATATACAAATCATGACAACATCTTTACCACTAGTGTCACATACATCATCTCCAGACACACACACACATATGTTATATTTGGATTGCAAAGACCATAAAATCTAGAGAAGTCCGCAGTCGAAGCTCGTGTGACGGATTTGATCGTAAAACAATATCGTTAACAAAAGGAGAAGCATCATCTTCATGAATCCAGACGAAGATTCTACAAACAAACCTGTGAGATATGTCTGAGTGGAAAGGGCAACAAGTCTCTTCCTCCTCTCTCTCACATATTCATCTATCGACTCCTCGATATCTCTTATCCGACAAACCTCGTCTAACCCTCTGTCTTGCCCTAACTTCTTCCCCAGGCATCTCCCCAACACGACCGCATCCTCCAGCGCCGAGCAAGCTCCTTGCCCTATGTACGGACCCATCAAATGCATTGCATCTCCTGTCACTGTCACTGTGTTTCTCCTGAACTTCCCGAACAGTATCTCCCATGGCGGTCTGTATCTCAAATTGCTCATGTATATGAAGCTCAAGTCACAGTTCTTCACCATCTCTTTCCAATCCTCCGGGAACTCGTCGATAGATTCCAGAGCGAATCTCGCTATCGCTTCTTTGTCCTTGGAGATCTTGGAATCTATATATAGATGCAAAACTCAAATAGCCCATTAACAAATTGTAGAAAAATAAAATGCGGAAATAAAATAAGACAAATAGAAAAGAACGGAATTACTTTTATTGCTACATCTCTTCTTCTTCTTGTTCCATTACAATGAAAATAACTCACATATTTATAGAAAAATTAACAACTGAAATAAAAGGAAATATAGATATAACGGAAATAAATATGATTCACAATATTTAACATAATATTGTGTTTCTCCAAAATCTAGATTTTCCTCCAATCACATATTCATTTTCCTACTTTAACACAAATATCTCCAGAATGTTATATGTACTATCTGAAAACAATGTATTATGTACGTACGTACCTTGAGAGTTATGATGAAGACTGGTCAGCCAAACGACCAGCTTGTCAGTAACGGGAATTCTTCCGCATACGATGTTGCCAATCTTGATTCTTGAAAACTCTGGTGGAAATCCATGGCCGCTCGGATAACTCGTGAATCCTCGTACAACACGAGGACCTAAGGCTTTTGTCGGGTTTAGCTGTAGAAAATTCGCGACCACCGAGTTCGAACCGTCGCATCCAATTACGACCTGAGAAAGAAATGTCTAGCGTTGTATAGTTTTCATGGAAATGTTTAATACAAGTTTTTTAGGATTTATTCAAGTAAATGAGATCATTAAACCTAATTCCATTCTAGTAAATTTTTTACCATATCTACCTTTGCTTTGATACTCCTTTTGTTCTTGGCCTCGAGAATCGGAAACGACGTTGTCTCGTCTAGCTTCATCGAGACAATATGATATCCAAATCGGATAGTTCCTTGAGGAAGAGCATCAGCCAATGCCTTAACCAAATCATTTCTCACGAGACATCGTAGTTCCCCATGACTATTTTCACATTCGAAAATGATCGAAAACACGTTAGATTATTATAGAATATTACCGAAAACGAAACGGACAAATGTCATATGCACGTACGCTGCCGGTCCAACAGATTCATGTCGCTTCCCGTTCTGTACCAACACGAATCTAATCCTGTTTCAACGTTTTACACATGCAAGAAAACTATACTCAATATATATATATATATATATATATATAAAGAATTTGTTTTTAAATTAGGGTTTCGATATACGAAAGAGAAAAACACGTAACTGATGAATAAGGAGAGTGTTGGTGCGGCGAAGGGTATCGGCTACGCCGAGGTGCTCG